GCAATGGCGATTTCGGACAATCTGTCAGTATTGTCCAGCGCGAGTGCCCCACGGACAGAATACCTCGTGTTAAAGTAGGGGTCAGTTACAGCGGCACAATCTGATGTGGTGTAATGCTGGTCATTAAGGGAGTTACGTCCGCATCCCAACGGGGCGTGTTTGAATGTTATTGTAGGCCATGGCGCTACCTGTCTGTGATCTCATACCGACCAACCTCATCCAACATGAGGTTTGTGTCAGGATGCCTTCTTAATGGAAATACAGGCTCTCATAGAACTGTTATCCATTGTGTCGGTAATACGACGATAGAAATTTTAATCAGTCAATTTCCATTGACGTAGGTCACTGTTGTCAGATGATCTAACGCCAGTACTTAAACTTTGGTTGCCTGGAGTATGTATCCAATGTCCTTAGCACACAGATAAGCATAATCTTTATTTTGATTTATAATTGAACAAAAAGGATGATAATTGTCTCATTGCAAACAAACTAGATGACGATCTTGAACTGTATAAAACAAGTGGTTTAAACGGTGACTCGATATAAAGATCTCCCATATTCAAAGCCCCACACAGATACAATATAGGAAGCTCGTCGTTAGATCCACATCCATCTGGAATACTGCTCAAGCCATCATAACTCAGCTCGCTCGCTCCCTCCCTTCCTCACTCACTCACTCACTCACTCAGAAACCATAATGACTATGGAAGGACCACACATGTCCGACTGTTTTACTGGGCGATAGAACAATGTCCTTCTGGCATGTTACCTGTAGTTTGACTTTATGTCATAAATAGGCCGAGATCTTGTCAGGCAGTGCGCTTGGGTTGTCGGCTTGCAGGCTTCCTCCGTAAGGAGTGTATGTATCTGGGCACTAAACATTTACTGTAGGTGTGTCTCCGGCAGATACATGCTGTGAGTGGGAGGTTTACAGGCTATATAAAGGTTATGTGGAAGTGCAACACGGACAGCCATGTTGTGCTCGTTTTTAGTTTGGGGGTTTGTGTATTCTTATAATGAATACCCCCAACATTTCGATACAGACGTAGGGCCTGTGTGTAAATAACATGATCATTAATTTAGTTATGCTGTTAGTTGTGCTGTTATTAAATTTTGAAACATTCCTAAGTGCTTCGTTAACACAATAACAAACCACCTTCAACATGTAACTTACGTGCAAACTGATATATACTCTGCAAAAAAAAAGAAATGCAAAATGGGAAAGTGGGTATGTCTGATGGAGTTTTGCTGATATTCATATAACATGAATACCAAATATGAATTACTCATGTCTGCATGCATTGGGTGTGATTTGTGCGGATAGAATGTAGTAAGGTCAAAAAATCCCCCCACATTGGGGGAAACGCGAAAACGTAACCACGTGGGAGCGTGGCGGCCAAACATAACAACATGGAATGAACGTGCAACATGAATTGTTGGGCTGTGAAAACGATGTGTTTTCATTTGTCTCTCAATTGTACAATTGTACAGCAAATGAAAAACGAAAACATGCTACGACTGACAGACGCTCAACGCAAAGACCGCCTCCGTGGTGTAGTGGTTAGAGCGTCCGTTAGAGCGGAAGGTCGCGGGTTCGATCCCCGACCGCGTCATACCAAAAGACGTTAAAATATGGTACTTGTTGGTCCCTGCCTGGCGCTCGGCATTAATGGGTACAACAAGGACTGGTCGGCTCGGAGTCAGTATAATGTGTCTGAGTTGGGTATTCATGCTTCACTGCGGCATGGTATCTCAGTGGGCTAGCACTATAAAACCAGCTTCAGTCTGGGCTAGTACAAGCAGCCGCACATACACATACACACGCATGCACGTCGTCATATGAGCGAAATATTCTCAAGTACCACGTTAAACCCAATTTCACCTCACCTCACCTCACCTCAACGCAACAACGCCCGGCCTCACGTGGCAAAACTGACAACGGCCTTTTTGACGAACTACAGCATCCAAGTACTGTCATGGCCACCATGGTCTCCACATCTACACCCTATCGAACGTTTATGGAGTGCTCTTGATCAGCGTCTCCGAGCATGTCAGCACCAGCCACAGAACCTCCAACAGTTGCCACAATCACTGCATTAAGAATGGAAGAACATTCCCTAGGCCACAATTCGTGATCTGGTACCGTGCGACAATGGAAGGGAGTTCTGGACTTCCATGGGGGCCATACAAGATATTCAGAACAGATGACCTTCACCTTGACATTCGATTTCATTGCCATGAACCTCGGTCGATGACAGTGATTTTTGCCAAATTTGAACAATTTATTATGATATGTTGATTACATAAAGTCAACAATAATACTCATCTAAAAACCACTTTTTCGTTGTTGTTTTTATTATTGTAGAGTATATATGGAAGTGCTTTGCAGTTTTAAGTTGATCAGAATCATCTCTAATAAGATTGAATAGGATTATCCATTTATCTCTCTCCTTCTCTCTTCCTCAGCTTTATTCGCGCTTGACTCGTAGATTATGACTTACTTCAGGAGACAGGCACTCAGCGGGTAATGTTTCTCAAAATCTTGTCGGATGAGAATGTTCGTGTGTACAAAGTGTATCCCCTGAATTCTCATTATGGTAATATTGGGCGATGATTCATATTACAGTGACTTCCCATGGACTCCTGGTGTATATTCCCACAAGAACTGGCGTCACGGTCTGATTACCACAAGCGGTGGAGGACTATTGCCGCCATGTGTGTCAATCAATGAGGCAGTCTCGTAGACACCCATACACACATACAGACAATGTTACCCCTGTGGACAAGGGCTAAAAGGGTAGGCAAACGTGCAGTCCTATATTGGCCATCAATCGGTCCCTTCAAAGAATACTTTACGTGCCCTTAAAGAGGCACAGGCTCAAGGTATACGTTACATACTATATGACTTGGGTGACATGTCATGTCAAAATAACGAAACTTATGACAATGAATTATTGTTAACATTTATCATACTTCCTTATCCAGCGGGATCAAGGCTATGGCTGCTGTAACAACGAGATGAAAGTCATTCAAAACGTAGTCCGATGTCTCGATAAGGCGTTCGGTTTTGAGTGACATTTATCTATGTGTTTATTCAGCAAAGAAACCCAAACCACAAACAAATAGTAATAATTTGAAACAAACCAGACCAGGTTTATCTCTGAGTGCATGATGTAAATCAGTCAGTCAAGCAGTTGGTGACTGCAACAAGGTCTTCCTCCCTCCCCCAGCAGCAATTACAAGATCGTTAGCCTGTGGTAATCCAATAAACTATAGAGTTACGACTGGTCGTAACGGTACGCATGCTGTGTGGATCGGTACCCTGTTATCAAACTTTTTCTAGCGCTGCGACATTCGTAAGCCAACGATAAACTATAGAGTTACGACAGCTCGTAACGTTACGAATGCTTTATGGATTGGGAAGTTGAACCCAAAGACTGCATTTTGGAACCGAATAAGGAGAGCAAATCCCCATAGTACGTGATATGGGTTTATACTTGAAATTCGTCTTTTATCATGAAGGTATTTGTAATTTGGTTAGACTTCTATCAAAAGTAAGTGAGTTCAGTCCTCTTGGTTATGAATGAATAAAATACGCTGTTTAACCCCATACATTATTCTACCAGTGTGTACCTCAACAAGTCATGTTGAAAGCTAGAAACCAACCTTCACCCAACCTCAACAGACACACACTCAACACAACACACACACACACGCACACAGAGAGAGAGAGAGAGAGAGAGAGAGAGAGAGAGAGAGAGAGAGAGAGAGAGAGAGAGAGAGAGAGAGAGAGAGAGAGAGAGGAGAGGGAGGGAGAGAGAAGAGAGGAGAGAGAGAGAGAGAGAGAGAGAGAGAGAGAGAGAGAGTGAGAGAGAGAGAGAGAGAGAGAGAGAGAGAGAGAGAGAGAGAGAGAGAGAGAGAGAGAGAGAGAGAAAGAGAGGAGAGAGAGAGAGAGAGAGTGAGAGAGAGAGAAAGAGAGAGAGCTTTAGACAGAGAGAGACCCCACCGAGAGAGAGAGAGAGAGAGAGAGAGAGAAAGAGAGAGAGAGAGAGAGAGAGAGAGAGAGAGAGAGAGAGAGAGAGAGAGAGAGAGAGAGAGAGAGTGAGAGAGAGAGAGAGAGAGAGAGAGAGAGAGAGAGAGAGAGAGAGAGAGAGAGAGAGAGAGAGAGAGAGAGAGAGAGAGAGAGAGAGAGAGAGAGAGAGAGAGAGAGAGAGAGAGAGAGAGAGGGAGGGAGACTCTTTCGCGCCATCCTCATCACATGCAGGATATAACAACGACAGACGATGATGGTAATGTTATTTATATACAACTTCTTTATTCTGTGAAAGCCGAGGCGAAATAGATTCTACCGCGGATGTCAAGCATGTGATCATCCTCATTGTTCATCACCTCAACTTCTAACATGCCAAGAAGACAGACCCATTGTATAGTTGTTTGAAGTATGCAGGATGTATATTTTTCACACTCGGGAGGAATGTGCACACACTGTGCACTGTGCAGTCTACAGTCGTCACGCCCTGTAGCACCGCCGGGACAGTAGTTACGTTGTCCCCAGCAACCCACGCTTGTCGCAACGAGCAACTTACAAGATCGGATGGTCAGACTCGTTGACTTGGTTGAAAACGAGTAATCATACCCCGATGTCTGATCGATGCTCTTGAGAGGGAAACATTTCCTAAAATTTGTTGATTTCAAAGTTAAAACTCTAAGTGTTCTTCAAATTAGAATTCTTGGGGAAACCAACAAACAACAAAAAATGTGAAATTTTCTGAGTTTACAAATGAGAACAAATCAGTACATGGCAGTTACAATGGCAGTGCAAAATAGAGTGGGTTAGAATTGATCTTCAGTAACCCTTGCTTGTGGTAAGAGGCGACTAACCGGATCTGGCGGTCAGGCTCGCTGACTTGGTTGACAGATGTCATCGTATCCCAATTGCGTAGATCGATGCCCATGCTGTTGATCACTGGATTGTCTGGTCCAGATTCGAGTATTTACAGACCGCCGCTATATAGCAGGAACATTGCTGAATGCGGTGTAAAACTAAACTCACTCACTCACTCCTAGCCTAAATATAGTAACCAAAATACACTGCATGCCCTCTACTGAATCTAAACAGAAACATTTTGATACAAACACAGACTGTTCTACCATGTCTACACAACTGCCACATACACATTACAGAACCCTTATCCTTTGTGCGTTTTCCTTGACTATAAGATGGAGAACGATGTGTACACGTCGTGATGTAAGAGGACGGTTATCCAGTTACAAAAAAGCAACAACGCAGATTTAATAGTACAATGGATTATGTTTACAATAAAGGCGGGCCTCTAAACGTTATGATATCAAGCTTGACGTCCTACTGCTCAAGGTATTCAAATGCATGCAACCACTGGAGATCCAGGTGAGAGGAGGGCTTCAACCATCCATACTTGTCTCATGAGGCGATTTGGGACCGGGGTCAGGCTCGGGGACCTGCTTGATGCATGTTCCTATCCCATTTTCGTAGATCGATGACAATTTGTCAAACGAGAATGTTCTGGTCCAGACTCATCTACAGACCGCCGTCATATTGCTGGCAGATGTCTGAGTGTGTCGTTAAACATCAAGCTAACATAATAAGACAGGGTTATTACAACCATGACAACACACCAAATGTATACGTCTTATTCCACAGGGGCGTGTCACGCTTAGAACCAGCGTTAGAAAGACATATAGGTATATAGACCCTACCCTAGTACATGTACTATATAAAAGGTTTTATATAGTACTAGGGTAGGGTCTGTATACCTATATGTCTTTCTAACGCTGTTTCTAAGCGTGACACGCCCCTGTGTCTTATTCCGTATTCATATACGTTGCGAAAAACTAAAACTTTGAAACAGGTTGAAACACAACTCTCAACTTATCCTCAAAGCCTAATGAGTGGAAGCTATCCACCTCTTCTAGTCCTGGTTCGCTAACACCCACTAGGTCGGCGTGACCAGTTCATCCACCCTGATGAGCAGGTAAGGCGGCCATTGTGCATGCTCAAAAAAGTAACAGGTAGACATTGTCCACTTAAACCCGTCTGATGTACGGCAGATGCTGTGCAAATATTGACCTGATGACAATTATCTCCCTTTCCAGTAGCTTGCCATGGATGTGTCGCTGTCTGGGCGGAAATTACCAGGTTAACATGTTGATGGTTTGTTCAAACACTATTGTTCAAATGAACACAGATCTTGACATTAAATTTGCTTTGATGTAAAAGCCGAATATTTGTATTTTGTATTTATCTTACCTTACAGTTGTACTTATAAGTCTTGGTAACTAAGTAAGACATGTGGTATTCGTGGTTACCATAGATTGGCAGAAATTCTGTCCTACGTTAACATGTGCATACATATGGCCCTATGTAACTGTACAAGCTAGACCTGCAGACTGTACACCGACACCAAACAGTGTACACCGCCATAGAGACTGTATGCGAACACTATAGTCTGTTTGCAGTGAAAACGTACCGGTGAATTTCAATTTAAACAAAAAAGTAAATCAAATAAGGTAAAATTAAGATTGCGAATCCTCATAATTTTACCTTGCCAATTGAACATTTAAATCTCAAAATTTTATTCAAATTAGGATAAAAGTTGTTTAACAAACGATCATAGATTCAAATCGCTATTACTGGTTTGTATTACAAGGGGGTAAGAGCAGTAGTTGGAACAGTGAAACACATGCAAGTGCGGTACGTGAAGAGCGTTAACTTATAACAAACCTTATCGTTTTCGGTGTTTCATTTGATGTGCATACCCCCTTGTAATACAAACCAATAATAGCCATGTGAAACTATGATCGTTTGTTAAACAACTTTTATCCTAAGTCGAATAAAATTCTGAGATTTAAATGTTCAATTGGCAAGGTAAAATCATGAACCTTAATTTCACTTTATTTGTTTTACTTTTTGGGTTAAAGTGACATTCATCGGTACGTTCACTGCAAACAGACTATAAACCATGTACACCGTCTACACCAACATAGACTGTATACGGACCCCAAACAATGTACACCGTCTACAAACATAGAATGTACACCGTCTACACCAACATAGACTGTATACGGACCCCAAACAATGTACACCGTCTACACTAACATAGACTGTATACGGACCCCAAACAATGTACACCGTCTACACCAACATAGACTGTATACGGACCCCAAACAATGTACACCGTCTACACTAACATAGACTGTATACGGACCCCAAACAATGTACACCGTCTACACCAACATAGACTGTATACGGACCCCAAACAATGTACACCGTCTACACCAACATAGACTGTATACGGACCCCAAACAATGTACACCGTCTACACCAACATAGACTGTATACGGACCCCAAACAATGTACACCGTCTACACCAACATAGACTGTATACGGACCCCAAACAATGTACACCGTCTACACCAACATAGACTGTATACGGACCCCAAACAATGTACACCGTCTACACCAACATAGACTGTATACGGACCCCAAACAATGTACACCGTCTACACCAACATAGACTGTATACGGACCCCAAACAATGTACACCGTCTACACCAACATAGACTGTATACGGACCCCAAACAATGTACACCGTCTACACCAACATAGACTGTATACGGACCCCAAACAATGTTCACCGTCTACACCAACATAGACTGTATACGGACCCCAAACAATGTAAACCGTCTACACCAACATAGACTGTATACGGACCCCAAACAATGTACACCGTCTAGACCAACACAGATTGTATACGGACCCCAAACAATGTACACCGTCTAGACCTAGAGATTTTACACCTACATACAACATAGTCAACCATTATTTTAAGAAACCATCGGAATTTGATTATGGAACAGTCATACTGATTAATATATCTAACGTTTCTCCCTGTGACTACCCTCAATAACATGATAGTCTTGTCATGTCGAAGGCTTCGGTCCTATAACCAGCTTCCTACCATTACCACTACTCCCATCCTCTAATCCCAACCCCAAACATGCACACACAAGCTATTGTAATAATGTTATTAAGACAGGCGTGCTATTCGCTATGAAAATAGATTGGCAGAACTTCTGCACAGAGAGAAACTATAAAGTGATGCTGAATCTTGATAGATTTATTAATGTAGGAATGTGCGTACGGAACACGTGAACACGAACCAGTGACAGGATAGCATGTAATGTGCGGGATGCCCGTGGGACACACGATAAGGTGAACCGATTACTTCAGAACCCCAGTGTTTAAATCCTCAGTTCAGAAATCCATACTTTATTATCTACATCTGATTCAACATAGGTTTTAACAATCAATGACATTTGCCCCTAAATGGATTACTATCTTTCAAGCAACTACAAGAATAAATTCAATATACATACTCAGTACATTTCTTGACAATATCTATGTTGACTGTATACATGTGGACACCTTTTGGAGAGGTTTGACTTCTTATATAAATATATAAATACCGCTGGGTATTATATGGGGAATATGTCTTCATGAATCAGATCCTTTTGGTTGCCAAGAGATATACCTATACTGCAAGTATAGAAGGAAACGCCCGTCACTTACCTTCAATATTTCTACACATTTTAAAGGACATAACCGAAGTTGAATATCGAGATGCATCTAAAAATATCATGGTTGACTTTGACAGAGAGTGACCTCACCTGCTGGTGTGGGAGCTGAAAAGGTGTTGTCTACCGACTACTTTGTCCATTTTACATCATATTACAATGGGAAAGCCTACCGAAGTGAATACAAATACTTATCAAGCAAATACAAACAACAACAAAAGCAACAAAACCCCATTATATTGTGTGTGTCACTTCAAGGATTGCACATAAAGTACGTCATGTATAATAAGGTAAACTTGCACGGGCATGGGTATAGAGACGAAATCAGAGCGAGCCGGGATTTGAACCCCAATCAAATGTTACTTAACACATAGGAAACGCAACTTTGCTCTGATAATTATACATCATGCATATATCATGAAAATTTATCAGTGAAATAAAAAGGATTTTATGTTATTCACATGCAGAATCAAAAACATTACAAATCAAACTAACTTTGATTAAAATTAATAATGTACACAATTATGATACATATGTTCATGTCTACAAGTATATATGTGCAAGGACATACACACATCTACTACAAAACACCACATTAGTGGAAAGTGCAAGGGTTATATTACGTGACAATGTGTAAGTTCCACAAAATAAATATTTGAAAACCGATGATACTTGTGATGGGATACGTTTCGTTGCAGCTTTGAAGTTATGCCACACGTGTGCTAGTTGTAATGGATTTTCGCACAATTAAGCTTTCCGGAGTTATTTCCCTTTTTCTTGTGGGCAACTCGTCACCGTATTTTGACACGATGTGGAAACTTTGATTTTCGGGTATTTACTGTTTATATGGTATGTATAATTTTATATCTATACATTTATATAAATATTGTGTGTCTAGATATGGTAAATGTCCTGTGTCAGGAATAAACTTTAATAAAGTCTTCCTGTGTCAATAATCCAGCACATTTACCTACTCACTCGCATGTTATCCTAATTCTTGACGTAAGCATTAATGCAAAGACTCGAAGAATCACTGGAACCAGTCAAAATATTGCAATACCATTTTCATCATACACTTGAGTTGGTACTCTGCTCAATTCGTGCGTCCGTCAACTTATATAAGAGACTAAAGCTCTGTCCACCAAACACGTGACGTTATTGCGTTACACGTCATAATTGCAACTATGTTCTGTGACGTCACAATCACGACAAAGCTGTCGGTGCATATAGTTTTAACTTGTCACATTCGTCGATTTTTTTCTTCGTTTCTATCGTCAAGATGCATTCTTACTGGATTGAACCAGCTCAGACGAGGTAGGTTGGACATCTTTGCTGGAGACAGTTTGATAGGCCGGTGCTTTAAGCGTTCACTCGTCAAATTGAAGTGCCCGGTTCTGTTCCCCACATGGGAACTGCGTGTGAAGCATGTCTACGAAGTTTCGTAGGTTTTCTCCGCCGTGATAATGCTTGAATAATGCTAAAGGCGGCATAAAACTCAACTCACTCACCCATCACAGACGGTGTTCGAAGTTGAATGTAAATCCTAAATATGGTCCTTTATGTGTTGCAGACTTGTTGTCAATCATTAATGGTACATAAATATACTCTTAAAAAAAGTAGGGGAACTTCATTTTTAATTTTAATATGCTTGATAAAATGGGAGATATATCGGAGTCAAACAAAGAAAAGAAAAACGGCCAGAAACAAACACTAACAACTGTGTGATGTAAGATGATTGTCAAAATTAATGGTCTACAGTGATTTATCGACCTTCTTGAAAACCGTCAAAATCAAGAATGACACCCGATGCATGTGCATGAGGCTACTGCGTTGTGCACGTGCATCCCATGTTTAGTGTTAAGGGGTGGTGATATAGAGAAGATGTCTGTCTTTGAAATGTTTGTTCACGCTTATACTTCCTATCCAAATTGAAAATTGGCTCCCCTACTATTTTTTGTTAAGACTACTAGTATATTATGGTACAATATCATCTCCATAAATTTCTGTAATCGTGTCTAAACAAACATCCGTGCAAGAAAATGCATACATTTAAAATTGGATTTGACAAAAGCATTACAAATGTTATCAAAACGTTAATATACTGAAAGTAGGTTTCGAAATTCTCCAAACTAAAGGTCCAATTCACAATGATGACACCGGTATCAACTACATCGCCATCGAATAAGCATCTGTTGTTTATTTAATTTTTAGAAACCATCAAACATGGGTGTATACTTTCTTTAGCTCGACAGTAAAGTTTTCATGTGATATATCTGTTGTCGATGTAGCCCGACAGTAAAGTTTTCATGTGATATATCTGTTGTCGATTTTAATGTTACAAAATGACCTTATACCATCCCTCTGTTTATGAATCTCGCTCTGTTGCAGCCCAAAGACAGTCTTGTCGGCTAACGTCACTTCTCACATTTCTTTTCGTGGTGAGTATATGACATCAACAGCTGATGCTCGTGTATGTAAACTTGATAAATCTGAATTTTATGTTGGATGCCATTATATATATAATACCTCACCATCATGTCCATGTAGTGTAAGTACTCAGCTAAACTGACCATACTCCTACCTCATTGAAGTAAATTCTATACCTTCGGAACGTGTTGTTACCATTGAAATAGTACATGCGTGATTGCTTTTCTTTCAGATACCACATGGCTTTGCATTGGGAACATTTGTATCGTCACTCTTACCATCATAGCAGGATGTGGTAGGTGTGGTTTCTCTCTCTTTCTCCTCTTCGATAATCTTTGTTACTTGACACTCACACGCTATATGCCTTACAGCAGTGTGTACAGTTTGTACATTTGTTGATAGTACATATGAATATATCAAGAGAAAGTTCACCTGTAGGTGACTTAAACGCTGGTGCTATAATCCTACATTTAAACCGTTACCCTACGGTAATACCCACTTCAACCTTGTGTTTCAGCTGTAATAGTGACAGTCTACTACATGTGGAAGACTTTCACAAGGACACGCACACCTGCATGGCGGACAAACAAGGGTCCTCTCTCTCGCTGTGTGGACGCCGAGATGGGAGAGATAGACCTTCCCGATATCCTGGAACCCAGCTTCCAGCAACCAAAACCCCAGGCCTTGACCTCTGGGAACATGGAGATGGAACGGGAACTGAAGTTCCATCCTGATTATTGTCTGGACAGTGGTGCGAGTTGGGGCGATGTGGTTGGGGATGTGGCGGGGGTGGAGGTAGAGGTGGCCCCGGAGTATCAGTTGTGTGAGGAGGAGGTGGGGGCAGATGTCACAATGTGGGGACTGGAGGTGATTGAGGAGGGGGAGGAAGAGTAGATCTGTGTTTGTGTTTGTACATACCTGTAAATAACGGAAATGTCTTCAAATGTGTACATATTTCATCTTATTTAAAAACGTTTTTTCATTATTTTGTTTGTATATATTTTTGTTAGATTATATGAACATTACAGAGCCTTTCTTGTGTTTTTCTTTGATAACATTTCATGTTACATGCATGCATGATGGTGTTACATCTTAGGTGGTGTAGTTTGTGTTGCAGAGTTGCGTCCCTTTGGCGTTAAGAAAACTTTGATCGTTGTATTCTATCATGAAGTGGCAATACAAATTTAAAGGCAGTATGACGCAGAAGCAGTGATTATAGCAATCAAGACAATGATGGTAATAATTATTCACCTCACAGAAACAATGGTTATAGGCTGAGTATCCAGGGCAAGAGAGATCTCCACACAATTGCTAGTCCACTGCAACCCGAGATGTAATGTGAGATGAGAGGCAAGAGTTAGCTCCCCATTTATACCAAAGGAAAAGACTCCAGAATATTCTCCAAGTCCATTGGTCCGAATATACTGGGCAAGTTTATAGGGTACCCTGTAGCATCTTCCACAACTATGTCTAAATATAACGCACCACTGAGCTAACAGGAATAGTGTTACACAGTGAATAACACTGTCACATGACACTAGGAACAGTGTTACAAAATGAATGACACCGCCACATGACACTAGGAACAGTGTTACACAATGAATGACACTGCCACATGACACTAAGAACGGTGTTACACAATGAATGACACTGCCACATGACACTAGGAACGGTGTTACACAATGAATGACACCGCCACATGACACTAGGAACGGTGTTACACAATGAATGACACTCACATGACACTAGGAACGGTGTTACACAATGAATGACACTATCACATGACACTAGGAACGGTGTTACACAATGAATGACACTGCCACATGACACTAGGAACGGTGTTACACAATGAATGACACTCACATGACACTAGGAACAGTGTTACAAAATGAATGACACTATCACATGACACTAGGAACGGTGTTACACAATGAATGACACTCACATGACACTAGGAACAGTGTTACACAATGAATGACACTGCCACATGACACTAGGAACGGTGTTACACAATGAATGACACTCACATGACACTAGGAACGGTGTTACACAATGAATGACACTGCCACATGACACTAGGAACGGTGTTACACAATGAATGACACTCACATGACACTAGGAACAGTGTTACACAACGAATGACACTGCCACATGACACTAGGAACGGTGTTACACAATGAATGACACTATCACATGACACTAGGAACGGTGTTACACAATGAATGACACTCACATGACAGTGGGATCGGTGTTACACAATGACTGACACTGCCACATGACACTAGGAACAGTGTTACACAATACATACATACATACACACGCACGCACGCACGCACGCACGCACGCACGCACACACACACACACACACATACATACATACATACATACATACATACATACATACATACATTTGTATAGTGCCGATATCCAGCTCAGCTGCTCAAAGGCGCTTTGTTTTCCTTTGATCACTGGATGTCAATCTCAACGGCCCGTCGTATAACAATCTCAACTGCCTGGGGAGTTATATATAGCAATGTTAAATCTACAAAAAACAGTTTGCTTGATGTGCATTGATATAAACAGTAGCTGTTGCCTAGCTGCTCTCGCCTGACTGCCTACGGTCGTGCTGACCTAATGTGGGTTTCTTGAAAAGTAGTAGTACGATGAGGGTTTATTATTTTGTATTAGGTTATTTTTACATCAACAAAACAGTTTAAGGTGAATCTTTGATGAGATCTTTGTTCTTGGTAAGGAAGGTTTGAATGATTTTTGGTGTTTGCATGTATTCATGTGGCCACCATCTAGTCATATACCAACGGATTCGTGGGTTCTTTTAATTGCACAGGGTTGTGTACTGTACACTAGGGGTTGTGACAACACTGAAAGAGTCTGCACACAAAGTTGACTCCAAGGTTTTTACACCCGGTCACAGGTGGGCTCGATCCCGTCACCTCAAGCTCGATGGATAACTAGCCTGGCGCTTTAGACAGTTCGCCCACCACGCCCATGACATTGCCACATGACACTAGAAGCAGTGTTACACAATGAATGACACTGTAACATGATACTCGGAACAGTGTTACACAATGAATGGCTCTGCCACAGTGTGACAGTTTCAGTGCAGATAATTCAGTGTAGAATGCATTTCACATAAATAAGTCAAATGTTTATTGATTGCAATACTGGAATCCAGTAGCCAATGGTGAGTGAGTTAGTGAGTGAGTGAGTGAGTTTTTACGCCGCTTTTTGTTACGCAATTTTCGAGCAATATCACTCGGGGGACACCAGATATTGCTTCACACATCTAGAGAAAAAGGGGCGAAACATATGTACAAGATATTCATTTACATTTATCACATACATCGCAAAGATTTCAGTCCAAATATAAACACACTTCAACAATATCTCTCAATATGGCACCCAAGTGGAAGTTGGACAGCTTAGTGATTGGGACGTTCGCTCGTCACGCCGAAAGCCGTGCTCGGCAGTATTCCAGCTATATGGCGGCGGTCTGTAAATAATCGAGTCTGAACCAGACAATCCAGTGATCAACAGCATGAGCATCGATCTACGCAATGGGGATACGATGACTGTCTAGTCAACCAATTCAGCGAGCCTGACCACCCGGTCCCGTTAATCGCCTCTGGAATCGAACCCATGCGCATCTTACACGTGACGACTAGGAAACATTAGCACAGCTTTTCTATCACCTGCTTCAATGTTAAAAGTGACATACGTGATTTGAAAACCCCCCAAGTGAAACCACGTTAATCAAACATTAAACAAGACATAGTTTGTACAGTTTAGCTCGAAGTTATTGTACGTACGCTTCTTTCACTCTAATTTGGCTGAAGAGTTATCTAACCTTAAATAAATTATTTAATAGATGGCGTTAACGATCGTTGACGTACTTCCTGTTTGGAATCGGCTGCTGGAACTGCAGTCAGAATGGGGAATACAGACACAAAACTTAATTTCAGGAAAGCTGTCATTCAGCTAACCACAAAAACACAGGTAAGATTACAACAGTTAATTTGCAATCTATCTGACCGCTACATTCATGAAAATCGCATTTGAGGCAATTGTTTACAAGAGAAGCTCTTGCATGTGTTACGTTGACAATTTTTACGTAGGCCTTGCTTGCATGTCAACACTGCTCATTATGCAGCGAAATATCGGAGGAGTACATTCATATGCAATTGTCAGGATTATGTCTTTGGTAATATATCAAGTAAAACTTGTGATGACAGATGCGATTCTGTGTAAATTAGTCGGTTATAGTGTCATATTGACGTTTACTATCTATAGATGTAAGGTAACAATCCATACAATAATACTGGCATGAAATGAAAACAATTGCATTGTTGACTTGTTCGACAACCTGAAATTATTGACTATGATGAGAATTTGAAATGTAAAAATGGATCATTGACAGGTAGATTATCGTTAAACAATTAAGGTTCCTACTTTCCGACATCCTCCGTAGCTAAATCTTACAGAACCACCAAGAGATTATTCAACATCTGTCACCAAATACCCATGCAGCTTAGCTGTCATGAAGGCTCATGAGAACACAGTAATCTTAATGAGCATTGTTCAGTAATTAATAATATTTATTTGTGTGAATGTAATTCTGAAAGTAGTACTATACATTTAGATTCATGAAAACATTCATTCAGCATTGTCAAACTGGATTAATTTGTTTGTGAAAATGGTTAAAATGCTTCAGATGCTTTGAACTCTCAATTTACATGGCATTGCTTGTTGTGGTTATTGTAATTGTATCACATCTGTTTATGATGTTCATCGTCTTGTTTCAGTTATTTTGTCTGTCACTGCTTGTCAGATATGTATCAAACAATTAGAAAAGTCTGCAAATGTACTTTATTGGAATTTATAGCACAATTCTGTATACAAACCATAGTGATGTTGTTAAATCTTCATACCCTGGCTTCTTAATTTAATTACCTGTCTCCAAATACTAATGTTTTATTTCATTGTAAGTAGACTTTGAAGGGAAACAAAGCTCCACATTGAATTTGTCTAGTCCATGTCATTTTTATAAGCCAACATAATCATGAGATGCTAATTAGTGTTTGTCACCCAGCCTACTAGGTTTCGGACTAGCAAGGGAGTAAGTACTTCATTAAAAATCAGAGGAATCTCCTTCAGTTGTCATATTTGATGGGATTATACTTTCGAAAACCATTCACCTTGCAAATTCGTATGTGTTTGGAAATGTGTATGTACAATTATGTATTTTAGTATATAGCAGTTACATGTAAGTATTATTTTTGTTTCACTGAAGTCCACTTATGTACTCAAAACAGCGACAGCTTTTATTATTATCTTATACAATACAACAATAAAACAATTAATACTCTCATCTTGTCATCCATGTTTTATCATATAAGCCCTATCCTTGTGTGTTTGTCGTCATTATCTTGATGCTCAGTTAATGACATCATTACAAGAATTAATTAGTGATAACAATATTAACATCACTAGGATTACCCAGACTTTGAAAAATAACTCCATAAAGTTCACCCTTGTCTCTGAGGGTGTCATGGATATATAGCAATCAGTGGCCTACATTTGGCATTGCTAATGTCTGGCGTAATTATTCAATCTAAGATTGGGTTCTGAAAATGTTTGATGTAGTGAACTGAATGTATTACGTGTTATGAAATGTGGATGTCCCAGCACAGGAAGAGAGGAATGGACAGTTCAGTTGCAAAAAACAAAGGATTGCGTTTATGATATTATGTTTATTGAGCTGTTATCATACACAGTTAATTTGTCAAAAGAGTATATATATGTGTAGTTTTACGAAGGCAAATGGGAATACACTCACGTGTAGGCAGCTGTGTAAAAGTCCATAACAAACAAATTTGTATAACACCAAGAAACAACCAATCTGTGTTTTGAAGCTTTCAAAGTTAGAGTTTTGTTTCTCTGTAAATAAATATTTTAAGTAAAAAAACATCCAGTATATTGTCTTTAAAAAAGATGATACCCATAATCATGATAATGGGTTTTATGTCAAATGTGGTAGAGAACTGTCTCTGAATTAATTAGTTGAAGTTTGTGCTTCGAAGTATGGCAGTTAGTCAAAGGGCAGTTATTGAACAGGATGTTTTCGTTCACCATGACAATTTATAGTATAAAGTATTTGACAAATTCACTAAAGGTTAAAAGAAAATCAGTCATCTTAAACATTAGTGTTGGGAATTGGTTGAAATCTCACAATTGATGATTGCTTCATTACCTTCTTTGAGTGGCATTTTAGAAGTTGGGAAGTACAATATAGAACAAACTTTATGGATAACAACTTCTTTTTATTCGTGAGTGCGACGTTTCGATACAGATGTTATCCATAAAGTTTGTTCTATATTGTGCTTCATTACCAACGAACAATCATCGAAAAAAATTGGTTAGCGTCATTTTTCAGATTTTCCTATCCAGGTTGTTATTGCAGATATATATAACATGATGTGACTTGCTACTTTAAAGTGATTACTAATATATCATGAACATAAACTTCTCGGAGTCTTCAAGAAATATTCAGTCATGGCTTTTCAGTTAGTGAAGTGAGTTTTCTAAGAATTAAACACGTTTTCAGTTCCTGACAACTTCTATGATATGTTCCATTGTCAAGTATTTTAAAGACTAAAACAGAAGTTCATAAATCGTTTATGTTCGATTATGAGAAAATGTGATCGATTGCTTGGTCGTTTGGTCACTGCGACCAATCTTCGATTATTTCAATAAATCGGGACACCACTATTAATAGTCCATTGGCTGACGGGGGTCCACATGCGGGGGTTCACTTCTATTGCATGTGAAGTAATATGTCAAAAGTATCAAGCCTTAAAATAGGCTTTCAGTTTGATTAATTCACATGGTCAAAGTCATTCATCATTGGAGCTGTCACTCTCCTCACTAGACACGTACTCTTCATCTGAAGAGTTGTCATCCTCACATCATCATTATCATCTTCATTATCATCTTCATCATCATCATCATCACTTCCATCTAATTCAGCGACAGTATCTTCTAAAATGTCTACCAACTGTTAAGGAAGGATTTCTCCATCAGTCCACTTTGGCTGCGTGACACCATTCTCGAATGTCGATCCGTGACCATCCATGGGATCAGGTAAAACCGGATCTGGAATGTGTGCTTGCCTCCATATCAACACCTGATAATTCACCTGATTCACGTGTTATGTCAAACAGCTTTGACAGAGAGCTAGAGTTTTCTATTCCGAGAATAAGAGAACGGACGCTAAAACAATCAGAAGCTGTCGACTAGACAGAGTGCTACATTGCGTAAAAGAAGAAGCCCTGGGTATAAAATTGTCAATAGGTCAGTAGATGGAGGGAAAGAAGCATATGAGAAGATCGTCATGAAGAATATGCTTTGGCTTCTTATTCGTCTCCATGCTGCAAAGACCAGTCAGAGTGTTCCAATATCGGGTGGCTTTGTGTCATTGACAGGGCAGACACCGACAAAACTCACAACTGTCGAATATTACCCTACCATACCACCTCCGATCACAGTCTACAAAGCAGTGAAGGAGTGTCTCTGCCAAGCAGAAAAGGGAACAAGAGAAGTTGGCCAACACTATGTCATCACCACCTTCGATCTCGGAGTCTGCATGAAAGCGTATCCATTGGTTTGGACCAATCCAAACCAATATGCACACCACATAATCATGATTGGGACTATCTACTTAAAATGTGCATATCTCAAGATGATTGGAAAGAAGATGGCTTGTACAGGACTTGATGACATTCTTCTAGAAGCAGGCTTAATCTCAACAGGAACTTTCAGCTCAGTGCTATCAGGAAAGAACTATGTCCGTGCCATCAATTGTCACAAGACCCTGCTGGAAGCACTTGAACGTTTACTGTTCCTGCATTTTCTCTATGCCCGAGGTGATGAGAGTCTGCTCTCGGACTTACTTCAGGAGTCCAAAGATCATTTTCAGGTCCTGACAGTCACCATCACTAGCGACGCCGAGAAGGAAGCACTACAGGATGATGCCGTAGTCAGAAACTTGAGTGAATACCTCAACTTCCTCAACTTCCGCAACTGTGCATGAGAAGGGGAACTAGGCAAAACAGCTCAGCTCTGGCTCTCATACATGGACATGTCTGGTTGGCGCTTAGACTACTTCAGGCAGGAAAGACCAATGACTATCATGCTTATGCAGAATGTTTTGGCTTGATGGCCGATATGTTTTTTAGCTTTAACGGGCAAAACTACCAAGATAGGTAACCTTCTTTGCTGTGTTCATTGCAAATATAGAAGAATCACACCCTGGTGCTACAGAACTGTTGAAATGTGGGGCATGTATCTGATACAGATACTAGGGATGTCACGATACATAAGTTTCATGAATCGTATCACGATACCTATTTTCACGCCATTTGGGTAAATTTAGTTACATTTTGAACATTAATATTTCATATTTTATAATTGTCCATGAAAAGATCAACATTTTTTATTCTCAGAGATTAAAAAGTTCTAATTTTCCATCTTTGAGCATGAAAAATAATCATTTATAACGTCCAAAAACATACAATTGCAAAATGTAAACAATGCATAAATATATTTAAATTGATACTTTCAAAACTAAATATCGATACAGTTTTGAATGTATCAATAATTGTATCGTCTTAGAAAAAGTATCGATGCATCGATGTATTGTGGCTACCCTATCACATACAACGACATTCCAAAGTGTGTGTGGTTTTATGCCATTTTTAGCAATATTCCAGCTATATCTTGGCCGGGGACACCAGACATGGGCTTCACACATTGTACACATGTGGGGAATCGAACCTGGGTCTTCGGCGTGATGAGCGGACACTTTAACCTCTAGGCTACGTCACTGCCCCCTATTTGATAAGTAATATTCTTACTATCATATAATGTTGAAACTATCCGCTGGTCTGGTTCAATTTTTAAGTACCTGTTATTTTGTGGACTCTTAGCATGTGATCATTGATATCATAAGATAATGCATTTGACTTAACATGTGATGATTGATATTATATGATAATGCAGTGAAAGAAGTACTTTTTTTCTAAGGCCAGACCAATTTTATTTCTTGTTTTACGGATCCGCCGGTTGTATTTTTTCAAGAATAAGAAAAAAAATAAGAATTAATTTTCCCCGCTCAGAAAATATAATCCTTATGTTTTTATTGGCCAAAAATGTAGACTTCTTTTTTGATTGTTTTTTTGCCCCATAAACACTTCATAAATTGCCAGAAGCAAAATACTTAAGATATTTAGAGGGAATATTACTTTGACTGGTGATTTTATTTTTATTCCCTCCTGCCTTTAGGTTTTCTGAGGACAAAAATCCGTAAAACAAGAAATAAAATTGGTCTGGTCTAAGTGTGCCTTAGGGCACCGACCAATATTTTATATGTGCCTTTCAGAAATCAAGTGTGCACCAATGTTTTTAGAATAAATGAGGTTAGCAATGATGATGAGCACTTGAAATTTATTGTTAGTAAACAACAAATATAACCTGTTTTCTGTTATCACTGATATGTCTTCTGTTTAAGATGGCTTTCTTAAGCTTCATTTGCTCTGCATTCCCAGCCCCTTTAATAGCTAAGAATTTTGTGACAGGTTCACCTGTTCAATATATCTAACTTACACAATTTCCTCTTCAGTAACCGAACTATCAGTACTTCCAACATTCTAAATGGAAAAACAACCAGATTTCCTTACATCATCCATCATAATTCCAGTGATTTCCTGGGCGATAAAGTCAATAAATGTTTTTGCTTGTTTGTCATTTGTGTATATGGTTTTTTTTGGATTAAATGACTAAAGGTGCGTAAGGTCTCTGAAAAAATAGGCATGCCATAAGGGCACCTAAGAACGTTTTTTTTTACTCTTTTTTTTTATAATGTATTCCACTCTTAGCATGTGATCATTGATAGTGTATTCGACTATTAGCACTTGATCATTGAAAATGTATTCCACTCTTAGCACGTGATCATTGATAATGTATTCGACTATTAGCACGTGATCATTGATAATGTATTCGACTGTTAGCATATGATCATTGATAATGTATTCCACTCTTAGCACATGATCATTGATCATGTATTCCACTCTTAGCACATGATCATTGATCATGTATTCCACTCTTAGCACATGATCATTCATAATGTATATACTGACAACAGGTGATTCACAAAGAACACAAATGATAATCAGGCAATATGTAAACGAAGTATTGTGATCAGTATCTCTTTCCAGTATTCAGTGATATACATGTTTCACCTCATTACCATTGGTATTCTTCCTTACTGTTCATAATACAATGTATTCCTGTGTACCAAGGTAGGGCATGGTGTCAGCGTGACATTACAGGATTTGCATGATTGCTGTTGCGTCAAGAGTCTGTTATGTCTGAACAATTATAACAAAAGATCTGCTTAACAATGTACTATAATTGTGTTTAATAGACTCTATTGCTGTGGATCATGATGGATGTTGCATTATTGATGTTGATAGCAATAATATTGTCTTCTCATTGTAACTTAACAGCTGTTGGCTTAATCATGCAAAGACAAATATTATTCAGGTTTTATTCACATGAGAGAAATGAATAAATATGTTTTCATTTTTGTCCAGGCAATGTGCATGTTTAAAAATAACAATACAACTGTTAAATGATTGCTGCATGAACAGGGATGTATCAAGAATGAAGTCACATGTTTATGAAATCATACTGATCATAGTCATAGTAGGGAACAGGTGGCTCAGCTCTGCAGAGTTGCATCCCTTAGAGATGCCAGGAACCGAGGCTCTTGTATTTGATTCCTGGTTCACCCTATTGTGTTCCCGAGGCTTGTCACCATAAATATTCTTGTTCGGTTTTACCATGTTGGTAAATATTTGAGCAGCAAACTCTCCCACAAACATAACCCTAGTTATATGGAATTGCTCTGTGGAAATTCTGGCACTTCATAACCTTTCATCGTATCCCAACTGCGTAGATAGATGCTCATGGTGTTGATCACTGGATTGTCTGGTCCAGACTCGATTATTTACAGACTGCCGTCATATAGCTGGAATATTGTTGAGTGCGGCGTAAAATTAAACTCACTCACTTATAACTTCATCTTGCTTGATTTCAGCCAATAGAAGCCAATGATGAGGCCTTCTGGGAGCAGTTCTGGTCGGACAGTGTGACATGCGTTCAGGATGTGTTCACGCTGATACCAGCAGCGGAGATACGAGCGCGCTGAGGGAAGAGTCACCGTCAAATCTAGCCACATTATGCTACAAGGCTGTGGAGAAGCTGGTGGCTGCTGCTGAGAGTGGCTGCCCCTCACACAGAGAACAACAGACAGGTAATCATCATATATAGAACTGCTGGCCCATTTCAGTCTTTCACTACTCCAGTGTATCATGTAATATATCATTTCTGGTGTCTCCCGCCGTGATGTTGCTGGAATATTGCTAAAAGCGACGTAAAACCAAACTCAGTCAGTCAGTCATGTAATATGTACCTAAATCTTGCATCTGAGAAAGGAGCTTTCCATATAATAGATTGGAAGAAGGGGGTGGCAGAATAAGGAATGAAGTTGCGAATCGCAGTTACTGTTTGATGTCAGTTGTGTCCACAGCCCAAAAAACATGAGATTCTGCTACAACCTAGAAACACTGGTCTAAAGCACAAATGCAGTATGATGTGTTTGTCTAGTATAAACAGTTGTAATAAAAGTGACAAACTGACATGATTTGCAATATAATAACCCCAAATGATGGCAAAGTGCAAGGGCATAAAAGTGTTAGTATTAGACTGAAAAGGAGTTACAATTGATACTTAGCATGGTTGTTCCAAACACTGTCTATCAGTTAAATGAACTCATTATCGGTAATACAATGTGTTAAGCCCATTTCTGGTGTCCCCCGCCGTGATATTGCTGGAATATTGCTAAAAGCGGCTTAAAACTAAACTCAGTCAGTCAGTCAGGCATCATCGGTAATGGTTTTCAATGGTTTTCAAGATGGAAAAAAGTTTTAACTTAGTGGTAAAATGTATCCACTTGGGCACTGATTGAATTCTTTTATTTACAGTGTTAAACTGTGTGCGTCTGCTGACCAGGATTCTGCCATATATATTTGAGGACCCAGACTGGAGAGGCTTCTTCTGGTCCACGCTGCCTGGACACAGTGAGGAAGGGGAGGTAACTTGCACACTCAGTTATCTCATTGCAAGGTGTTCACTGGGGCACAGAACTGCAGTGCACTGTGTAGAGTTGATCACGGTTGGAATCCTCGATTTCCTATTATTGTTGTGGACTGACAGCACCATTCTCATGCTAATATACATTGTCATGTTGGCAACCTGTGTTGCTATGGTATTTCCTTCACTCAGAAAAGCACTGTAAAACTGGCATTAGTCCAGATTAGCATAAGCAGCCATGTAGGCATCCATATGGCTATATAAATGCAGTTATCTTAGACACAGTATTAACCTCCATTCCTCTGGATCTATGACTTTTTAAACATGTTAAGCAGCCTTCACATGGCAAACTAAAGTTTGACAACATATGTTGTTGAAATTTTAAAAATTGTCAAATTCGTGTTATCACATGTCAAACACGTCTTGTCAAACTTTCGTGTCATTTGAGCGCCATCTCTCTATCGGTGCGGTCACACGACAATTTCGTTGACTGCAATTAGTTGTTTCTGAACAACAAGATTTTGACAACACTTCACAACACCGAAAGTTTGATGGAAAAGTTGGTGAGAATAGAGAAAGATTCTATTTCTCGACAACAGTTTGTCAACTCTGAAATTAGTGTTGGTGGTGAGTTGTTTGAATGTTCACACTCTCAAACTTGAGTTTGACAACATTTGCCGCGTGAAGGCTGCATTACAGGTTTACATATGTGTGGCATGTCATAAGATCCTGTAATAATAATGGCAGCTAATTGACTCACTAAATCAGGATATTTGATTGTTAAGTAGAGTTTATAGATGTTTTTTCAATAGTTACTGAAAGCAAGATTTGACAGTTGTTCACATCTCTTAGTGTAACAAATGGTATAGAAGGTTGTTTGCTTGCCCTTTTTCAGAATGAAAGTCCACCGCTTGCTCAGTCATTGTTGAATGCTCTCTCGGTGAGTAATATTATGTGCATGACATTCAAGTTTTGTGGAATGAAGCCGTGTCCTAGGACTCCCATAATTCCAAACACTGACTGATTGATAATTTACTTGTGGTTTGCAGTAACCTGGCAGACCATTCATTTTACCTGCAACTCTGACATTTCTAATCACACCTGTAGCTTGATTTCTAGAAAACTAATCAAAGTTTCATTTTTATCTAACATGCCCAAAGCACTTATCATTAGTGAGGCTTGGGATGTAATAATTGAAGGACTGATATGCCTGTATCCTGCAGCCTTTCTCGGTAATACCTGTCCCTAATGGTGGCCTGTTCTGACACAGACACTGACCTACCTTGTTTGTGTTGAGTCATGTGCACTTTTGCTTTGATATTTAGGGTCTTAAACATTAAATGGACCAACTAGAAATACAGCACAACGTATGTCTGATGCTGGATGCTATTATAGATGGGAATGTCCATATTTATGTTGAAACTTAGCTGGTTGAAGAGATTTGGACATTGACTGTCATAACATTGATCGTATCAGCAGAGATACATGAGATTATGTTATATGTGCTTCAGTTTCTCACACAAGCATCATTCAAACCTCATGATAGATATTGTTTGCATCAGTTATGTTTTATTATGGGTATGCAGGCATAGGATGCAATATTTTACAGCAGGAAAAATACTGAGAGCCTAGAGTTAAATCGGATCTCTGTACCTCTGTCATGTTTAACTGGCAGCCATGTTTGTTTCCACCAGGATCTGCTATTCTGTCCAGACTTCTCTGTGTCAACAAACAGAAAGTCAGGCCCGGTAAGTAACGTCTCACTTGCTGTTTATAGATGTTGTCAGCATTGACTTCACAGTAACCCATGCAGTGATTTGAAGGTTGAATCCAAATCATTAGAAAAATACTGAAAGGAAACTTTGTTCAAGGTGTATACCTGCCAAGTGCGTGGGACCTCTTGATTAACTTTTGATGAACTTTTGATGAACTTTTGATAAACTTTAGATAAAAGAAAAAAACGAGTCTTCTATTCTTTTTGGAAAACCTGCTATCAAGTAACCTTTGTGTAATTAGCAGTTGTTGTGTATTGACAATTCAACTTTCAACTCTATTATTTAGCATGAATTTTCATCATTATGTAATTAACTCTTCAAACTCACTTATACAGTACTCTCCGTAGTGTACTGTGATGTCACTTGCATTGTGACGTCATAACTCAGTTATGACGTCATAGTGACGACGTCATAGTCCTAACTGCCAGTTCACCTGATGAAGGGACCTGGGCCTAGATTTTCGAAGCTCTCTTAGAGCTAAGATAGTCCTAAATGCCATACATTAACATTAACTTACGACTATCTTAGCGCTAAGAGAGCTTCGAAAATCTAGGCCCAGGAATGGTCTTGAAACTTCGTTAGAGAAATTAAAAAGAAGTTTAATCCATAAAAATATCTTGGACATCAATGTACAACTTCTAAATGCCACTGAAAGATAACTCTGTTCTAGTTTCTGTAGCATCACCAACATAAGTAAATAAAACAACATGAAATGATGTCCTTTCTGAAAAACTGTTTCAAGAAGATTTCCAGATACTTTAAACTTGATCATATATGTGAAGAAGTTTGGTACAAATTTGTTCACTGGTCCTCAGTTATATGATCCACAACTGTTACCATGGTAACACATCTCTTGCAGGACAACCCAGAAGACATGGCTTCCATAGACAGCTGCGAGTACATCTGGGAAGCTGGAGTGGGATATGCCCACTCACCTGCACACAACAACAACCATGACATCAACCGCACAGAGATACTCAAACTGATGCTGACATGCTTCTCCGAGACAATGTACCTGCCTCCTATAGGTAGGTTACAGTGACATGCTTTTCCGAGACAATGTACCTGCCTCCTATAGGTAGGTCACAGTGACATCATTTCCTCAGACCTATACCTTTCCCCTATACATGGGTCACAGTGACATGTATCTCCTTGACCTTGTACCTATCCCATAGATAGGTCACAGTGACATACTTCTCCGTGACCTTGTACCTGCCTCCTATGGGTAGGTCACAGTGACATGCTTCTCCAGGACCTTGTACCTGTCCCCCATAGGTAGGGCATAGTGACATCCTTCTCCGAGACCATGTACCTGTCCCCCATAGGTAGGTCACAGTGACATCCTTCTCCGAGACTTTGTATCTGCACTCCATGGGAAACCACATACCTGCCCCCACAGATAGGTCACAGTGACATGCGTTTTGGAAACCATGTACCTGCACTGATCACAGGTCATTTCATCAGTGAGAATCCAAATCAATCTGATCCTTTGATTACTCATGGTTTGTGCTTTTGATAAGATATCATTTGCCACTGAAATGTTACTTAACCTTGGCTTGTTTGACTCCTTTGACAACTGTGATTACTTTGATTTCAGCTGATGCACACAGTCAGCCAAATCAGTGGATTCATTTTTTCACCTCCACAGAAAACAGGTACATTGCAGGATTAGCAGTGTTTGTATCACTGTTGATTGATGACAGAAAACCTTCCGTCTGATATGGTGACATTTGTGAGGTTTAATATTTAGAGACTCACTCACCTCACCTTTAACAACAGTTTCATTTGATTGTTTTCAAAGCATGGAAGGATATGCATGTCTTGTATTAAATGGTTCCCTGTGCAATATTCCTGCTAGCATAATGGAATGGATATGCATGTCTGGACAAGGTGTATTAAATGGTGTCCCTGTGCAATACGTCTCATTTCTGGAATATGAATAAGGATGAAAAAACTTAGTCAGCATAATGGACAATCTCACACACTATGGAAATTATATAGATGTGGAATTTGCTTTTCAGTCCAAAATGAACCTGTAGACATTACATGCATAAGGACATCTCATTTCAGCATGAATAAAGATGAAAATAACTGCATGTGACTCTGAAGGTAACTTATCCTGATCTCTCCATGTGTCATGTTGTTCCAGACATGCCCTGCCTCTGTTTACGTCACTGCTCAACATGGTGGCAGCCTATGACCCAGTAGGCTACGGGGTGCCCTACAACCACCTCATGTTTGCTGATCACCGGGAGGGACTGGTGGAGATTGCCCTGCAGGTCCTCTGTGTTACCTTGGAAAACGAGGCTGGCAGTAACCAGAACGTCTCTGTCGATGGAACAAGTGGTGGAACTGCTATGGAACAGTCCAGTGATGTAAGGCTCCTCTTGATCCTAACTTGGCAGTCCACTGTAACTAGGATCTGTGTATTTTACATAGACTATTTAGTATTGTGCTATGGATATTTTTGATTGGCTATGGAAGTTGTGTCACAAAAAGTAATTGCCTGTTAGTTTGTATCACTGAATGTGATTGGTTGTGGGCTTTCTGTCACTGAAAGTGATTGGCTGCGGGATTTCTGTCACTGAAAATGATTGGCTGTAGGGTTTGTGTCACTGAAAGTGATGGACTCTTCTTTCAAAGAAAGTTAGAGACTGTTCCGTGACTAATAGTCATTTGTCTGTAGTGTCACTGAAAGTGATAAGAAGACAAGGCTTTATTTGAAGTAATGTTTGTGTTCAATTCACAGGCTGGTGGCCCAGACAACCTGTTTGTAAACTACCTGTCCAGAATACACAGAGAAGAGGTGAGTCTGATAAAGCAACGTGTGTGTGAACCTGTAGCAGGAAACATGTACAATACACAGCTTGGCAACAACATGATTGTAAACAATGTACTGATGTCTGTACTGACAAATCTCATGTATACAGTAAATAGTAAGCTGAATGAAGAAGTACTAGTGTGGTCTTGAACACTCTTCACTTACTTTATGTGTGTCTTCCCTCAGGACTTCTCCTTCATACTCCGAGGCATCACACGTCTGTTGAACAACCCACTGCAGCAGACGTATCTCCCTGGTTCCTCCAAGAAGATACAGTTCCACCAGGAGCTGCTGGTGCTGTTCTGGAAGATGTGTGACATCAACAAGGTAGGACTCCACACTGATGCTACTACTTTACCAGACAGTATTCTTACAAACTTTCGCCACACCCTGTAAGCTGCATTACCTAGCCATTGCAGGAGCTGCTGGTTGTGGGTTGATGTCTTTTGCCCTTGTACAATCTTTTGTTAGTGCTTTTTGTGTTTATGGGTTTTACCAAAGAAATTGATGTATAAGTCACTTTGGGCTTTCGTTTGACCGTATTCTGATAGAGACACAGCATGATGTTGCTAAACAATGTTCAAAGCAGCATTTAACACAGTTATCTCCCTTTCTTTCTTCATTTGACTGTTTTCTGTAGACAGCTTTTGGATGACTACATGACTACATGTTGGATAAATTCTCAGGCTTGAATAGGAAGCCATGTCTCTATGTGATCTTCTCGCCGCCAATAGCTGCAACATTGCTCATTGCGGTGTTAAGCTATACTCACTCACTCTGTGTGATCTTAGATGATGGATATATTCACTGGGCAGAAATCTAGGATTGTGTGTTTGAATCCCAGTTCACCCTGAGTATATTCCCAGCTTCGTCAGCACCATACCTGCCATTTGTTTCAACAAAGTGGTACACATCGGAGACCTGCATCTCTTCCGGTTTTCTTTCCATACTAAGCTGACATGTCATGATGCACCTGGAGTACTGTTCCAGGTGGCGTTTACTCACTCATTTGCAGTGATAAAACAAAACATTGCAGTCATTGTTATTGAATACCTGTTGTGACTTATACTTTGGGCTGCCCTGAGGATGAGAACATCTGACATCATCTTTAGGCCTAAAAAATGTTGTGGTTCCGATTACTTGACCGACCCTTGAATTCTGGTGCCAACCCTATATTTTTTAAGCGGACTGAATAAAATAAGCTTTCATCATACCATTGTTTTTCCGGCACCGACAGATATCGGTCATTCTGATAGAGAAAGTCAGCACATGATGGTTCACTTTTGTGCACATAATTCCATTTGAGCTTGATTGAATAAACAATTACACATTGATATATGTGTTAATAGTTTGTACTTTCTTTCTAAAATAAATATTGAAAAAAAGAAAATCCTACCTACCCTAAATTTTAAAGAGGTGTAATCGGAACCACAACATTTTTTTATTTGGCCTTAATACCTCATTGTAAACCTGTAGTAGGCTGTACGGCTGGTTCCAGTTTCTCATTTAGCTGTTGGTTTTGTTTCTTGCAGAAGTTCATGTTCTATGTGTTGAAGAGCAGTGATGTGTTGGACATCCTGGTACCTATCCTCTACTTCCTCAATGATGCCAGGGCAGATCAGTGTAAGAACCACTCACATAAACATCAATCAGTGAAAATATAGCACACATGGCAGAGAACAAGATATTTGTCAGCTTTAAAGATAATATGTTCTTTCTTTATGTAAGGTTTGTTTACCCACTTTAAATAAGAAATAACATTTAAATGGTGATCATTTAAACAAAATATGTAATGTCAAACATAAGAATGCAGGTTATTTCTAAAAATCATTTTATAAAATATGGTTAACTAACTTTCCTACAATTCTCAAAGTAGAAACAGTGTTAAAAGTTATTGTTATAATCAGGGGCTGATCCAGAGTGAGAGGGGTGGGGTGGGGTGCACATACACCCCTCCCCTGACAAAAATTCCCCTGGGGAGCATTTCCCCCTAACCTTTGGACTTCATGATTTATGTCCATCCCCTTCTCCAGGATCCGCCCCTGATAATGATGTTTTCTTAAAGGAAACACAATAGATTCTGACAATGGGCTACTGAAGTACCTAATGTTTGAGATGCCTGTATAGATATTTGACTGAATCATCCTACTGTGCAGCTCGTGTTGGCCTCATGCACATCGGAGTGTTCATTCTGCTGTTATTGAGTGGGGAGAGGAACTTCGGTGTGCGTCTCAACAAGCCCTACACCGTGAGAGTTCCCATGGATATTCCAGTCTTCACCGGCACTCATGCGGACTTCCTTGTCATTGTGAGTTGTGATATTTTACCTGTGAAGATACAGGTTAGAATTGGTCTTCACAATTTGTCGAAGAGGCAGCTAAGGTCCAGCTAATTTAATTGGGTAGTCAGACTCAGCTGACTTGGTTGATTCGTGTCATGGTATGCTAATCGAATAGATCAATGGTCATGTTTTCAATCTCTTCATTGTTGTGTCCAGACTAGATTATGTTCAGACCATAATCATGTGGAAAGAATATTGCAGTCCCACAGTAAACATTATCTTATTATGATAAGTTTCGATGATCCTCCACACGCTAACATGCAATCCACTGTTATGAAGATGCCCAAGATGCCAGTATACATTGTCACTAATAATTGTTGATCCTTAAATCTCTTTCTAGCAGCTGTATAAATGGTCTGATGATCCTCCACACAAATGACAAATCATGAAATAAAGCTGATCCTCCACACAAATTCTATCTAGCAGCTGTATAATCCACTGTTCTGATGATGCAGGTTTTCCACAAGATCATCACCACAGGGCACCAGCGACTGCAGCCATTGTTTGACTGTCTCCTAACCATCATTGTCAATGGTAATGTCCCTTAAACTAGCGTGGCTGTCTGCTCCTCCTCACATGTCAGGGCTCTGAGTGTCCTCCATCCTACCAGGGGGTGACTCATTAGGATTGGATGATTAGTGTGTATTCAGTTTGGGTGTTACAGAGAGGATGCGATTTGAATGGTTACAGTGTATATGGATATTGGATGTTACAGTGTATATGGATGTTACAGTGTATATGGATATTGGATGTTACAGTGTATATGGTTATTGGATGTTACAGTGGAGATTGGATGTTACAGTGTATATGGATATTGGATGTTACAGTGTATATGGATGTTACAGTGTATATGGATATTAGATGTTACAGTGGATATTGGATGTTACAGTGTATATGGATATTGGATGTTACAGTGTAGATTGGATGTTACAGTATATATGGATATTGGATGTTACAGTGAAGATTGGATGTTACAGTGTATATGGATATTGGATGTTACCGTGTGTATTGGATGTTACAGTGTATATGGATATTGGATGTTACAGTGGAGATTTGATGTTACAGTGTATATGGATATTGGATGTTACAGTGGATATTGGATGTTACAGTGTATATGGATATTGGATGTTACAGTGGAGATTGGATGTTGCAGTGTATATGGATATTGGATGTTACAGTGGATATTGGATGTTACAGTGTATATGGATATTGGATGTTACAGTGTATATGGATATTGGATGTTAGTGTATATGGATAATGGATGTTACAGTGGAGATTGGATGTTACAGTGTATATGGATATTGGATGTTACAGTGTATATGGATATTGGATGTTACAGTGTATATGGATATTGGATGTTACAGTGTATATGGATATTGGATGTTACAGTGGATATTGGATGTTACAGTGTATATGGATATTGGATGTTACAGTGTATATGGTTATTGGATGTTACAGTGTATATGGATATTGGATGTTACAGTGTATATGGATATTGGATGTTACAGTGGATATTGGATGTTACAGTGTATATGGATATTGGATGTTACACTGTATATGGATATTGGATGTTACAGTGTATATGAATATTGGATGTTACAGTATAGATTGGATGTTACAGTGTATATGGATATTAGATGTTACAGTGGAGATTGGATGTTACAGTGTATATTGGATGTTACAGTGTATATGGATATTGGATGTTACAGTGAAGATTGGATGTTACAGTGTAGATTGGATGTTACAGTGTATATGGATATTGGATGTTACAGTGAAGATTGGATGTTACAGTGTAGATTGGATGTTACAGTGGATATTGGATGTTACAGTGTATATGGATATTGGATGTTACAGTGTATATGGATATTGGATGTTACATTGTATATGGATATTGGATGTTACAGTGGAGATTGGATGTTACAGTGTATATGGATATTGGATGTTACAGTGTAAATTGGATGTTACAGTGTAGATTGGATGTTACAGTGTGTATTGGATGTTACAGTGGATATTGGATGTTACAGTGTATATGGATATTGGATGTTACAGTGTAAATTGGATGTTACAGTGTAAATTGGATGTTACAGTGTGTATCGGATGTTACAGTGGAGATTGGATGTTACAGTGGATATTGGATGTTACAGTGTAAATGGGATGTTACGGTATAGATTGGATGTTACAGTGTGTATTGGATGTTACAGTGGAGATTGGATGTTACAGTGGATATTGGATGTTACAGTGTATATGGATATTGGATGTTACAGTGTATATGGATATTGGATGTTACAGTGTATATGGATATTGGATGTTACAGTGTATATGGATATTGGATGTTACAGTGGATATTGGATGTTACAGTGTATATGGATATTGGATGTTACAGTGGAGATTGGATGTTACAGTGGATATTGGATGTTACAGTGGATATTGGATGTTACAGTGTATATGGATATTGGATGTTACAATGGATATTGGATGTTACAGTGTATATGGATATTGGATGTTACAGTTGAAATTGGATGTTACAGTGTATATGGATATTGGATGTTACAGTGTATATAGATATTGGATGTTACAGTGGATATGGATATTGGATGTTACAGTGGATATTGGATGTTACAGTGTATATGGATATTGGATGTTACAGTGTAGATTGGATGTTTAAGTGTACAGTAGAACACGGATATAACGAACTCCAAGGGACCAAGAAATTTAGTTCGCCATATCTGTTGTTCGTTATTCACATTTGACCGCCATCTTGGATTGTAGAGATGTAGACATTCACAGACATTACCTATATCATGTTGATAAATATGAAGTTTACTTTTATAATAAAATTGAAATAATACAACTACAACTTTAATATTTATTTTTTAATGAAAATTCAAGCTTACATTTATAATGTCCAGATAAACCACGAAAGAAGCAAAAACTGTAGCGATTTTTTTTCCATTTGTGACATGTCATAACATGCCCGTGCCTTTTTCTTTATATTTTCATTTTTATGTAATCAGGCTTTCTGTTTGTTAACATGACACAACAACGGAAATACCTCCGCCAAGCTTCAGATGAATAACATGCGAGGCTTAATCATGTGGTGTCTGGTATCGTTCGACAGCTCTGGAACATCAACAATATCACTGTACCCTCGCCGAGAGTATTTTCACATTTGTAAAAAGTGATTTTATTGGATAAAGATTGGTTTCTAATGACGCTTTTTCGCCATAGTCTGCTATAAGGATCGTGATTGGTCAAAATCAGACACGTGACCTAAGGCAGCCAATCATACTAAAGCAATGGATACCATCTTGCTTTTTGAGAATCAACGAAAACAAGTTGTTGAATGGGTTAAACAAGATATGTTTGTTTTGTTAATTAATTTATGACCATCAATCAATGTTGATTCACCGCCAACAAGATTGATGTATACTGTACGGCTAAGTGGCTGAGCTGACACTGAGTGAGTTCGCTAATCACGTCGTTAATTGGGTCTTGGGGGTAGTAAATCAGTTCGCTATAGCCGTTAATTCGCTACTCACGAGTTAGTTCGTTATTCAATGATAATCACGTAATAATTATGATATTATAAAGGACTGTTGACGGGACTTTTAAATTTGTTCGCTATATCCGTTTGTACGCTATATCCGTGTTCGCTATATCCATGTTCTACTGGATATTGAATGTTACAGTTTAGATTGGATGTTTAAGTGTATATTGAATGTTTCAGTAGAGATTGGATGTTACAGTGTAGATTGGATGTTTAAGTGTATATTGAAAGTTACAGTGGAGATTGGATGTTACAGTGTATATGGATATTGAATGTTACAGTGTAGATTGGATGTTACAGTGTAGATTGGATGTTTAGGTGTATATTGAAAGTTACAGTGGAGATTGGATGTTACAGTGTAGATTGGATGTTTAAGTGTATATTGAATGTTTCAGTAGAGATTGGATGTTACAGTGTAGATTGGATGTTTAAGTGTATATTGAAAGTTACAGTGGAGATTTGATGTTACAGTGTATATGGATATTGGATGTTACAGTGGATATTGGATGTTACAGTGTATATGGATATTGGATGTTACAGTGGAGATTGGATGTTGCAGTGTATATGGATATTGGATGTTACAGTGGATATTGGATGTTACAGTGTATATGGATATTGGATGTTACAGTGTATATGGATATTGGATGTTAGTGTATATGGATAATGGATGTTACAGTGGAGATTGGATGTTACAGTGTATATGGATATTGGATGTTACAGTGTATATGGATATTGGATGTTACAGTGTATATGGATATTGGATGTTACAGTGTATATGGATATTGGATGTTACAGTGGATATTGGATGTTACAGTGTATATGGATATTGGATGTTACAGTGTATATGGTTATTGGATGTTACAGTGTATATGGATATTGGATGTTACAGTGTATATGGATATTGGATGTTACAGTGGATATTGGATGTTACAGTGTATATGGATATTGGATGTTACACTGTATATGGATATTGGATGTTACAGTGTATATGAATATTGGATGTTACAGTATAGATTGGATGTTACAGTGTATATGGATATTAGATGTTACAGTGGAGATTGGATGTTACAGTAATATATTGATGTTACAGTGTATATGGATATTGGATGTTACAGTGAAGATTGGATGTTACAGTGTAGATTGGATGTTACAGTGTATATGGATATTGGATGTTACAGTGAAGATTGGATGTTACAGCAGTGTAGATTGGATGTTACAGTGGATATTGGATATTTACAGTGTATATGGATATTGATGTTACAGTGTATATGGATATTGATGTTACATTGTATATGGATATTGGATGTTACAGTGGAGATTGGATGTTACAATGTATATGGATATTGATGTTACAGTGTAAATTGGATGTTACAGTGTAGATTGGATGTTACAGTATTGTATTGGATGTTACAGTGGATATTGGATGTTACAGTGTATATGGATATTGGATGTTACAGTGTAAATTGGATGTTACAGTGTAAATTGGATGTTACAGTGTGTAATCGGATGTTACAGTGGAGATTGATGTTACAGTGGATATTGATGTTACAGTGTAAATGGGATGTTACGATTATAGATTGGATGTTACAGTGTGTATTGATGTTACAGTGGAGATTGATGTTACAGTGGATATTGATGTTACAGTGTATATGGATATTAGATGTTACAGTGTATATAAGATATTGATGTTACAGTGTATATGGATATTAGATGTTACAGTGTATATGGATATTGATGTTACAGTGGATATTGATGTTACAGTGTATATGGATATTGATGTTACAGTGGAGATTGATGTTACAGTGGATATTGATGTTACAGTGGATATTGATGTTACAGTGTATATGGATATTGATGTTACAATGGATATTGATGTTACAGTGTATATGGATATTGATGTTACAGTTGAAATTGATGTTACAGTGTATATGGATATTGGATGTTACAGTGTATATAGATATTGGATGTTACAGTGGATATGGATATTGATGTTACAGTGGATATTGGATGTTACAGTGTATATGGATATTGGATGTTACAGTGTAGATTGGATGTTTAGCGTACAGTACAAATGGAACACGACCAATAATATAACGTTAACTGACCGCCCAAGTAGACATTCAAGAAATTTAGTTTACGAAATAATAATAACCACAACATTATTGTCTGTGATTCAAGACTGTAATCATTTTTTCCATGTACATGTCATAACATGCCCGCGGCCTTTTCCATCATTTTTGATTGTAGGACGGATGCGTGAGACATTCATGTGGTGTCATCGCTCGACATTATCCCATATATGTACCCTGATAAATATGAAGTTATCATTTCTAATTACTTTTATAATCAAAATTAAGGCAGCCAAAACAATACAACTTCGCCAACGGAAAAACAACTTTGAGACATATTTTTGACCATCAATCACGTTGATTTTAATGAAAATTCAAGCTAATACACGTTAATTGGGTCTTTATAATGTCCAGATAAAACCACGATAATCTAAAGGAAGCTTTTAACAAACCGTGAAGATTTTTTTCCATTTGTGATGTTCTGTGCATGTCATGTTTAAGCGTATATTGAAAGTTACAGTGCCCGAAATTTGGTTTGCCATATTATCTGTTGTTTATTCATTGATGTTACATTTTCACGTTACTTTTTATGGCGGATAATGGATGTAGACATCGTTACACAGACAGTGTATATGGATATTGATGTTACCTTATCATGTTGATGTTACAGTGTATATGGAAGTTTGAAATAATTACAACATGATGCTTACATTTATATGTCCAGATGGATAAACCGAAGAAGTTACAGTGTAAAACAGTGCATTAGTTACAGTGATATTGATGTTGCTAAGTGTATTGGATAGCTTTTCCATGTTTGTGACATGTCAGTGGGAGATTGATCCTATATGTTACAGTGTAAAATGGGATGTTACGCGGTTACGGTGAGATTGATGTTACAGTGGATATTGATGTTACAGTGTATATGGATATTGATGTTATATGTATATGGATATTGGATTTTCAGTGTTTTTGGATATTTTCTATTGGATTTATGTAATCAGGCTGTTGATGTTAACATGAATAACATACAGGTAGATTGATGTTTAAGTGTAATAGTAGAACAACTTAACCTCGTAGTTCGCCATATGAATAACAAGGCTTAATCATCGTGTAAAGGGTGTCTGGTATCGCTCGACAGCTTTCTCTGAACATCAATAATATCACTGTACCCTCTACCGGAGTGTTACAGTGTATATGGATATTGGATGTTACAGTGTATATTGAATGTTATAGTGTATATGGATATTGGATGTTACAGTGTAGATTGGATGTTACAGTGTATATGAGGATTGAATGGTTGCTATATGTGTTCCCTTCTTCTCTTGCTCTTGGGTTTCTGATAGTAGGAAACACTGAATAAACATTGTCCTTTGAAACTTCGAAATTGAGGTTCGAAATCGAGGATGAAATGTTGAAATATTATTTGATATGATCTGAGATCAGATAATGTACACGACCTCAAGATAGCAAGTTAACATGTGATGGATCTCTGTTTATATTGACAAAGTATTTCCCATGTTGCCAGTGTCACCATACTTGAAGACTCTATCTATGGTTGCCAGTACCAAGATGCTGCATTTACTAGAGGTAAGAGCAACAAAAGTTGTCTCAGGGTTGTGTTCTCTGCTGAATTTTGAAAGGGGACTTGTTAGCATCGGGGCCTATGGTCACATATCAATGAGCGGAGTTGTGTACATTAGATGTGCAGGAATGCACTGATCATTGACGTAAATACCAGATTCATCCTGACTGTGACAGCTGGTCTGTTGAAACTGTGTTTCTCCAAAGTGGTTTTAGTCTGAAAATTTATGATGCACGACCTGGCTGGTTGTGGCTCATTGACCCCGACTGTGTTTATTGGTGTCTTTTGTGTCGCACCCAGACAAACATCACCGGCCACCATGATACAGATGATTCACTTTCTCATCACTCATTGTTCGGGTATTGGTGTTACAGCCTTTATCACGACCTTGAGTACAGGCAAGTTCCAATAGCCTGATTTAATGTAAATGTTGTACCTGTAGTAATGTTATCTGTACCTTGTGATGCCCTGGTTTGTTCCAGGCGTTCAGTACTCCATGGTTCTTGTATGCCAGTCCCACCAACCACCATCTTGTGTTCTTCCTCCTCGAGGTCTTCAACAACATCATACAGTATCAGTTTGATGGTAACAGTCACTTGTAAATGTTTCAGTAGTCTAAAACACGACTACAAACTTTATAGGTTACAATAGTACATTAATTCCAACATCACACATTTCACTAAATTGTATTATCAGTCTTTACGTTATCATTAAGACAAGAAGGCAGTAAGCATTGTGCACATTTAACTTTATTTTGTCATCAGCTATACAATTTAATCATAGTATCACTGGTTCTCTTTTCCAATAACTAGCCTTTAAAATATGTCTGCTGATCTAGCACAATATGTGAGACCAGAGATCAGTGATTATATACCTACAGCACTCTTGCATTTATTTGTTTACTGTATATCGAGAATCACCATGACTGTACTACTGATTGTTAACAGGTAATTCCAACTTGGTGTACACAATAATCCGCAAAAGAAATGTGTTCCATCAAATGGCCAACCTGCCAACAGACCATTCAGCTATTGCCAAAGCTCTTACCAAGCGTGGGAAGAAGTTCTCCGCTCCGCCTCAAGACACCAGAGACCCACAGACAATGGAGGGTGCCATCCCCGCATCTGAAGCCGAACCTGGCACACTCAAGGCCAGTCTAGCAGCTCTACCTCGTAAGGATTTCGTTACACTTGATATTCCTTCAGTCTGTGCACACCCAAACTGTGGTGTCCTTGTGTGATATATACAGTAAACTATGGCTATAACGAACCCAGAGGTAACTAATTTCGGTTCATTATAACCGTAGTTCATTATACACATTTCAACTGAAACATACTGCGAGTAGCTGGGACCAAAAGAAATGTTTGTAATTTTTAAACTTATCCTATCTCATGACTTGCACCTCTCTCTCTTGCTTCGACTTTTAGTGGAACAACTGTAAACTTTTTTCGATAGGCCTCCTTGTCAATTCGCCTGTGCACTCCATGCTGCTCTCCTTAATTAGCTTGCTATAGTTTGGCATGAAATGCATGTGGACCCGTTTTTTTTTAAATATCTCTTTATCCAATGACCTCTATGACCCAACACTGCCGCTGTTACAGGTCATTGGCTCCCTCCCTCTGCAAGCATTCTGCGTTCTGCTGTTTATTTTGTTGACAGTTACATAGACAGATTCTTTAATACAAATGCATAAAAACGGTGATTTACAATGTGATTAGGTTGTCTGACAAAACATCCACTTGCACAGTTTGAGATCGATTGGGTCATTGGATGAAGAGATATTTACAAAAAAAACGGGTCCACATGCATTTCATGCCAAACTATAGTTCCTAATAAAGCTTGCAGCATGCTCCACTAATTGCCAACGTGACTACCTTGAATGATCATTCTCTTTCTTGTCGCACGACTGTGTGGACGTGCTGTATATTAGGGACATAATTTCACCCTAACATCATGGGGAAAACTGATAATCAGTCAAGGAAAAGGAAAGTTTGTGCTCAATGCAAGACAAATTATTCGTCCCTCGTCCCTCGACCTTCACTCGTCTTGCAGTGACTGTATTGGACAATGTAACTGGAACAAACGATGTGGCAAGTGTAATTCACTAAAAGCTGAGGATTTTAAGGCCTACCTTCGTGTTTGCTCCTGGAGAATCGCCGATAGGGACAGGAAATCAACAGAATCTGATCCCACTCCCACCAAGCGTATCAAGTTACATCGACAGAAAATCGTACCTTCACGCAAGAGAAGCGACGTCTGTAGTTCAAGAGGATTTTATGGATGCTTCATCAGATTCTTACTTATCTGAGGACGTTCGGCACCTATTACGTATGCATCAATCACCTCCTTCCTTTGCGTCAGATCACTCACGGGTGGTTGTGATCGACAATTCTTCAATCCTGTCCCATCTACACTACCAGGGGACCTTAGATCGACACTATCATCATCCAGATCATCGGTACATATCCCCTCGACTGTCTCAGTTTGTTTGGAGCCTGGCCAACTGCGTTAAACCAGCCAACTGTCTCCCCACAGTTCATTGAACCGGACGGAGCTGGCTACAACAGCGTCGCCGGGGGACGTTCATCATGAATCAACACATCAGGTTTTGTCACCTAATCGCCGATCCAGATCGCCACATCATTCTAGATCACCACAATGATTTAGATCACCTTCACGATCCAGATCGCCATCACAAGCCCGATCTAGATCACCGTGCCGATCAAGATCACCGGATCGATCCAGATCACAGTCACGATCCAGATCACAACTACGATCCACATCACCTGATCAATCCAGATCACCTTACTGATCCAGATCACCAAACGGGTCCGGATCACAACATCGAAGTAGATCATCGGACTGATCCAGATCACCTAATCGATCCAGATCACCGAATGTATCCAGATCACCGAATGTATCCAGATCACAACTTCGAATCAGATCACCGGACCGATCTAGGTCACCTAACCGATCCAGATCACATCATCGAAGTAGATCGCCAGACCGATCCAGATCACAACATCAAAGTAGATCACCTAACCAATCCAGATCACCAAATCAAGCCAGATCGCAACTGCAAACCAGATCACCTGTTCGATCCAGATCACGATCACATTTTCCAGTTAGTGCATCGAATCGATCCAGATCACTTTACAAACCCAGATCATCTTACCAACCCAGGTCACCTATACGATCTAGATCACCTTACAGAGCCATTGACCAATCGGGATCACAGTACAGATCCACATCTCATGGCCGATCCTATTCAGATGGTCGAACCAGAGCTCCAATCAGAACCAGATCACCAACTAGAACTACATCGACCCCGGACTAGTTCTTCATATCATACCGGATCACCTAGCCATACTAGGGAATCCAGATCACCGGCTTACCAACCTACTTCAGTACTTACCACGTCGAGATCTCGATACAGTTCCTCTGACCGATGTTCGGGTGATCATTGCTCTGATACCACTAATAGGCCTACAGTCTCTTACGATGTTCCGTCTACGCGCTCTGAGAATCCTTCAACTCAATCTAGGATCATCGCTGAGTAATGGGAACCTGATAACAATTCCACTCCTACAGCGACTCTGGATCTAAATATGATGATCAGGGCCATAACCTCGGCCTGGAACCAAATACAGACGTCTACTCCAGCCCATCCGGCTCCGGTAGCTTCTGGCTCTTCATCTGGTCCACCTCCTGAGATTGATCCAGTCCAAATAGCCATGCCTGCATCTCCCGCTCACTCCCTGTACTGGTCATCAGATGACCTGGATCACTCTTATACTCTTAGGAACCGGGAATGGTCTACCATCACCCTACCACCTCGACCTTGTATTCTGAAATTATCCAGTACACTAAATGATGGTTTCAAGAGCCTGAAACGAATTAAGGACGGATTCTCAGCTCCCAGATATAATCCTTCTAACTCTCATGTACACGGCCAAACAAAAAATCTCTACGGCTCCAACAGTTGATGAGGATATTGGAACCCTGTGTGGCAAACGAGCTGCTTCGCCCTACCTTATTGAGGACCGAGAGTTGGATCACATGGATTCAGCCATGAGAAAGACGTTGCGTGATTGCAGCAGTCAATGCTGTTAACACTGCTCTGGAGCATACTTATTCTGATCAAGACACTTACATCCGAGGATGCATGACTTTAGCTCTGGACCAGTTCCAAATTATCCTGGATCAGTTGTCTAATTTTTTGGGCTACACTCTTGCTGTTTGCCGACGTGGACCGCTTAACATCTCTTCATGGGAGGAAGCGATTTAAAACAGAACTGTTTCGCCAGCCTTGGTGTACTGACTCCCTCTTCAATGGTAGCATCCAAGAAGTATCTACTAAAGTTGATAAAGAAACCCACTTTCAAGTCTCGATTGAACTGTTAAAGATACAGAAGTCACAGCTCCAGGACTCATTAAAACAGCGTCGAACTGCACAGTTCACCCCTACCAATCTGGATTTGCGCAATCTTTTTCGTGGCGCATCCACTCAAGGCCGTGGCAGAGGAAACAGATCTGGCCGTGGTGGTTCCTCCCGTCAGACAAACTCTGGCCCAGGGACCAGCGCTGGGAAGCAAAGATCAAAGATCCGTACGTCACCAACCTGCTACTTCACGGCTATCAGCTACCCGTTTTTGGCAGTCCACCTCTGACGTCGCATCCGGCTCATCGCTCATATCCTGTGGACCAGCTTCAGACTCTGCAATCCACAATAGGTACGCTATTAGACAAACTCGCGATAGAGCTCCTAGGTCCATCGCCCGTCACTCCAGGATTCTACTCCCCCATCTTCTTGGTTCCAAAGAAAAATTCCAACAAACTCCGGCTCATCTTCAATATGAAGTTGTTCAATGCCCGATTCCTGCTTCCACCGCCTCACTTCAGGATGGTGTCGATCAGGATGATGCACCATCCCGAAGAAGGGAGACTTCCTCATCAGCCTAGATCTTCAGGATGCTTATCTTAACGTTCCGATACATCCAGAACACTGGAAGTACCTTCGCTTCATGTTCAACGGGAATCACTACCAATGGAAAGTCCTACCATTTGGAATTTCCACGGCCCCGTGGCTTTTTACCCAAATTACCAAGCCCATAACGAGCTTCCTCCACTTTCAAGGGATCACCTTCGAAAGCTACATAGACGGAGGCTCAACAGGATCCGATCGTATTGCTTCGCCAGCTACAGTTAACCACCACGCTGCTCAGACAGTTAGGGCGGCTGTTGAACATCGCGAAATCGGAACTAATACCGACTCAGAAACTCCAATTCATCGGAGCACTGTTCGACACTCATCAGGGGATGATGTTTGTACCTCACGACAGGTGGATAAAGATTCAGGAATGCATTCCTCCAGGACTGTCTCAGGCAAGAACCTTACGACAGTGGCAGGAGCTACTGGGCCTTCTGACGTCAGCTCCAACTTCAGCCGATACAGCGATTTCTACACCCGTACCTTCAGGCCGACAACCCCAAGGAACTAATTTGCCTTCCAGAACCGCTTCGTCCAGTCCTTCAATCATCTAGGCTCGACAGGCTCGGCGAATCTGCTACAATGGGCGATCAGGTTCTTCCATCTCATCGACTCACTCAACATCGTAGCCAGAGCCAGACACATTCTCGGGGTAAAAAATGTGATCGCCGATGCCTTGTCCCGATCCAACCGACCGTCCCCGACAGAGTGGAAGTTACTGCCCCAGATCTTTCAGTTGATGATCTACCTGTTATCACGGCCTCAAATAGATCTGTTCGCCACATGGTTCAACAACCAAGTTCCAAAGTTCGTATCACCAATCCCAGACTCCTTGGCGTGGGACCTCGATGCGTTGGCAATATCATGGGAGGGTCTCAATGCCTATGCGTTTCTCCCCCTCCCCTCCCCTCTCCTCCAGCTCTGCTACCAAAAGTAATACAGAAACTATTGGCCACCAGCAACATACTACTGCTTTTGGTTGCACCCTTCTGGCCAGCAAGAAGTTGGTTCGTCAACCTAAGAAGCCTGGCAGAGCCAAACCCAGTCCTGCTTCCCAACCGGGACGACCTACTTCTTCACCCTCACTCGGAACTGCGCCACGGGTCACCTCAGACCCTCAATCTACACGTTTGGCGCATCTTCAAAAGTCTCTCATAGCTAAGGGCTACTCTTGCCGAGTAGCCACAGAAGAAGTTCGAAGACTATTGCAAGCTTAGGGGAATTGCATCTCCCACTTCCAACTCGGCTCAGGTCGTTGCTGAGTTTCTCCAGCATCTCTGCACTACTAAGAAACTCAAGGGTACTATGTTAGCTACCTACTTAGCCGCCATCAACTCGGTTTTGGCTACCACCACGGGCATGAAGATTTCCACTGTTCCTGAGTTGCAGAGTCTACTACGCTCCTATAGACTCTCTGACCAGTCCAGGAAGTTCAGACCTCCGGCCTGGGATCTGTCCATCGTCCTTTGTCATATGATTTCTACAGATTATGAACCTTTAGAAGACAAGGACATCGAACAAGTGACATTCAAGACATTCTTCCTGGTAGCTTTGGCTACCGCTGCTCGTATATCTGAACTGCATGCGCTTGATGTCAATCGGGTGCGGTTCGAGCGGAAGAAGCATGGCAAGGCTTTCCTGGGTCTCCGCTGCGACTTCATTGCGAAAAACCAACTGCCAGGGCAACCGGACTGGATGTTTACCATTCCCCCGTTGTCCACCATTCTTGGGCCTGATTATAATGAAGATTTGACACTCTGCCCTGTTAGGGCTTTACACGTTTACCTTGCTGCCTCCAAGGATCGTCGACGGCTACGGAAGCGCCTCTTCATACCCTTGTCAAACACTACAAGAACTGAGGTTTCCCGGTCTACATTGGCCTTCTGGATGCATGCCACGATCCTGCGAGCCTACACCTTTGCAGGGTTGCCTCCTCCAGCCGCTTCCAATCCTCATGAGACTCGTACACTAGCCTCCACGATGGCCCTCCATTGTAACTGCTCCTTGACCGCTATCATGGAATGTTGCTTCTGGCGTTCTGATACAGTTTTCTCTTCACATTACCTGTGAGACCTGTCTGTCACGGATGTCCAGGGACTACACCAGTTTGGACCTCTTGTACTGGCTCAGCAGCTTACATCTGCCCAACAATGCAGATGAGGGACGGTTCCGCATTCGCGTTACTACTTCCTTGTATATACTGAATAAAAGTTGAACTGGATCTCAACCTTTTGTTCTTATTATATGGGTTTAAGAACTACTTCACTTGGCCTCCATAGCAAGGCATCGGAATACGGCCACCTATCGTGGCCCAACGGACCTGAGGCACAATCAGTATGACGATGCAGAGGTGTTCGACATTCACGCTTACTGACCTCTACTCCATGGAGCAATTACGTCAGTGAAGTGTGACACTCCCGAATTCCAGAGGATTTAGTTGCGTTCTGCCTCCAAAGTTGCCGGGCACATCCTTTGACTAAGCTTAGGCAAAGGAGTGAGGGTCAATTTGATGCTGCCCGGAACTGAATGTTAAACCTTGGAGATGCCGAGTTGTGTTTCTCTTTCACCCGCCTCGGTCTGTGTCTGGGGGGCTTTCTTGAAGCAGGGGCTGGCCCGATTCTAGTCGCAAGACTTTAATGACAGGGGTACCTTGTAAATCATGGCGAGGCGAGGCTTACTTGCTGAGTTGCGTCCCTTGTCTTGTACAAGGTTGCGGCCGAACACCACATCGCTCGGGCACACCCATCTCCCTGGGAACTGCGTGCTTAGTAAGCCAAGGGGTTCCGGAGAACCCACTACAAGCATAGGAGTTGCGTGCATGCGTAACAGGCCCCCCTTGTACATCGCTATCTACGGGTGTCATCAGTCCTCACAGCTCCAAGACCAGCTGTTCGCACTGTCCAGACAGAAGGGTAATCTGCAGCCCGCCGTCCAACAGTGCAAGTCGTGAGATAGGATAAGTTTAAAAATTTGGAAATTTTGATATTAATTGTATATTTATATTCTTACTCTATCTCACACAATGGATGCCCGCCCGGCCTCCCCACTACTCAGATTACAACGTTGGCTCCAAGATGAGAATGATCATTCAAGGTAGTCACGTGGGCAATTAGTGGAGCATGCTGCAAGCTTTATTAGGAAATTAAGGAGAGCAGCATGGAGCGCACGGGTGAATGGACAAGGAGGCCTATGGAAAAAAGTTAACAGTCGTTCCACTAAAAGTCGAAGCAAGAGAGAGAGGTGCAAGTCGTGAGATAGGATAAGTATATAAATATACAATTTATATTAAAATTTCCAAATATCCGGCAGTTCATTATGAGTGTGTTTGTTCTCAGTGTAGTTTACCGTATGTACCTATTAACTTGACAAAGGTACTGATTGGATTGCGTTAGAAAATAGAACAAGTTGAAATTGACATCTTCCCTGTCTTCACACTTTGAACTTGACCAGACAGTTGCATGTTTGTATGGTGATGCCCTGTGACCTGTGTCTGCCAGGTCTTGACAAGATGACCGAGAGGGCTGCTCCTGATGAGGGACACAAGGCCCCAACACTGAAGGAGCTGGCGGAGTCCAGTGGGACTCACAATGTGCAGCCTCCCAGTGAGATCAGGGACCCTACCTCAGGACAAGGCGAGGAGGCCTCCTCCACAGAAGATGCAGAGAGTGAGAAGCCAAAACTGCAGAAGGCAAAGAGTTTGGTGAGTGAGTTTAGTTTTACGCCGCACTCAGCAATATTCCAGCTATATGGCGGCGGTCTGTAAATAATCGAGTCTGGACCAGACAATCCAGTGATCAACAGCATGAGCATCGATCTGTGCTAGTGGTGGTCCGATTAATTGAAATAATCGAAGATTGGTCGCAATGACTAAACGACCAAGCAATCGATCATGTTTTCTAATAATCGAACATAAACAATTTTGGAACACTTTTTGCTTTAACAATATTTTTCACAAGGTTGGTTTTGTCGGTTACATTTCATAAGCACTACCAGCTCGTTCCAAGTCAGGAGGGGCGGTGGGGTAGCCTAGTGGTTAAAGCGTTCGCTCGTCACACCGAAGGCTTGGGTTCGATTCCCCACGTGGGTACAATTTGTGAAGCCCATTTCTGGTGTCCCCGCCGTGATATTGCTGGAATATTGCTAAAAACAGCGTAAAACCATACTCAATCAGTCAGTCCAAGTCCGGATTGAATTTATGTTAATGACTCCAGCTAATGTATGTCCATACATACTAGTCATCCTTTAAAGATGTAAAATTTGCAAAAGCACTTTGTGAAGTTTGCACAAAAAATGAAAGAACTACTTGTTTTTTCTTTAATTCTTGTGCATTAACAAACATAACCAGGAAAATTTGATAAGTAACGCCAACCAATTATTTTCGATGATTGATCGGTTGCAATGAACCAAACATCAATTATGAGATTGTAACCAATTCCCAACACTAGTCTGTGCATTTGGGAACTGATGACATGTGTCAACCAAGTCAGCGAGCCTGACCACCCAATCCCGTTAGTCGCCTCTTACGACAAGCATAGTCGCCTTTTGTGGCAAGCATGGGTTGCTGAAGACCTATTCTACCCCAGATCTTCACAGGTCCAAAGTGTTTGGTATGTGTATGTAGTACATATGTGTACAAGTATTGTGATTCAACTAACACAGTTGTAACCTCAGTTAAAAGGGGGCTTTGCATACCCATGTCTGTTTCTAGTGTATGTCAAGACGCACTTAGTAACTTGTGTCAGATGCTTTTTCTGTATCATTAAGGAACTAGATAGACTGAAATCTTAATCTTAACATTTTAGTTCCAAGAAAAAAATGAACTTATGTAGCAGTGGTGCTAGGTCTGCCTATTTGCTGAAGTTGTGCCTGGTTGGTCTAATGCTGAGGTTGTGCTTGGTTGATCTAATGCTGAGGTTGGTCTAATGCTGAGGTTGATCTAATGCTGAGGGTTTGCTTGGTTGATCTAATGCTAATGCTGAGTAATGCTGAGGTTGGTCTAATGCTGAGGTTGATCTAATGCTGAGGGTTTGCATGGTTGATCTATTGCTGGGGTTGATCTAATGCTGAGGTTGATGTAATGCTGAGGTTGATCTAATGCTGAGGGTTTGATTGGTTGATCTAATGCTGAGGGTTTGCTAGGTAGGTCAGTTGTTAGGGTTGTCATCGATGATGATACCATGATGATTGTGTCATGGGTGCATAAAAGTTTGGATTCCATTGTAAACCTTGTCAAACAAATAACCTGCTGACTGATCCAGGTGAGTTACAGAACCCCTCTCTGTTGAATACAGCCCACTCCACCAGCCAGCCCTTCCAACATGACGCCGCCCATGACTGCAGAGATTCCAACACGGGCTCCCATGATGAGAGCAGGCTCTGCAGCCGGACCAGGAGCATGGGTTGCCACACCTGACTGGGTGAGTTCAGTGGCCTTAAACGGGGTAGTGGGGTAGCCTAGGGGTTTAAGCGTTCACTCGTCACGCCAAAGACACGGGTTCGATTCCCCACATGGGTACAATGTGTGAAGCCAATTTCTGGTGTCCCCCGCCATGATATTGCTAAGAATGGCATAAAACTTAACTCACTCACTCAGTGGCCTTGAACAGTTGTAGCATCAGTGCAAACAGCATTGACTGTGAAGATGATTATCCATGTCCTACTATCAGTGCTTATACATGTATATCTGTAACAGTGGTGTCACCTCTTGGATGACTAGGATATGAACATATGTCTTGATCAACAGGAATGATGATAATTTGAGGTTCATCATCTGGGGAATGTCTGGAATCATGTTGTGTGTACCTGGGGTCATACCACTGGTCCGGGTGAATCTACAACTACACTGATGCTATGAATTTCAGGTCCAGTCCTGGAAGCAGAAGCTGCCATTGCAGACCATCATGAGGATGTTGCAGGTGCTTGTGCCGCAGGTGGAGAAGATCTGTATAGACAAGTGAGTGGAACAATGGGTTCAGATACAGTAAGCAGAGCGCTGGGGATGGGTTCAGATACAGTGAGCAGAGTGCTGGGTTAAGGTTCACATACAGTGAACAGAGCACTGTGGTTGGGTTCAGATACAGTGAGCAGAGCACTGGGATTGGGTTCAGATACAGTGAACAGAGCGTTGGGTTTAGGTTCAGATAAAGTGAACAGAGCACTGGGTTTAGGTTCAGATACAGTGAGCAGAGCACTGGTTGGGTTCAGATACATTGGGCAGAGTGCTGAGGTTTGGTTCAGATACAGTGAGCAGAGCGCTGTGGTTGGGTTCAGATACAGTGAGCAGAGCGTTGGGGTTGGGTTTAGATACAGTGAACAGAGCACTGAGGTTGGGTTTAGATACAGTGAACAGAGCACTGAGGTAAGGTTCAGATACAGTGAGCAGAGTGCTGTGGTTGGGTTCAGATACAGTGAACAGAGCACTGAGGTTGGGTTTAGATACAGTGAACAGAGCACTGAGGTTAGGTTCAGATACAGTGAACAGAGTGCTGTGGTAAGGTTCAGATACAGTGAACAGAGCACTGAGGTAAGGTTCAGATACAGTGAACAGAGCACTGAGGTTAGGTTCAGATACAGTGAACAGAGTGCTGTGGTTGGGTTCAGATACAGTGAGCAGAGCGCTGAGGTTGGGTTCAGATACAGTGAGCAGAGCACTGGGGTTGGGTTCAGATACAGTGAACAGAGCACTGAGGTTAGGTTCAGATAAAGTGAACAGAGCACTGGGTTTAGGTTCAGATACAGTGAGCAGAGCACTGGTTGGGTTCAGATACATTGGGCAGAGTGCTGAGGTTTGGTTCAGATACAGTGAGCAGAGCGCTGTGGTTGGGTTCAGATACAGTGAGCAGAGCGCTGGGGTTGGGTTTAGATACAGTGAACAGAGCACTGAGGTTGGGTTTAGATACAGTGAACAGAGCACTGAGGTAAGGTTCAGATACAGTGAGCAGAGTGCTGTGGTTGGGTTCAGATACAGTGAACAGAGCACTGAGGTTGGGTTTAGATACAGTGAACAGAGCACTGAGGTAAGGTTCAGATACAGTGAGCAGAGTGCTGTGGTTGGGTTTAGATACAGTGAACAGAGCACTGAGGTAAGGTTCAGATACAGTGAACAGAGCACTGAGGTTAGGTTTAGATACAGTGAACAGAGTGCTGTGGTTGGGTTCAGATACAGTGAGCAGCGGTGAGTTCAGATACTGAGGCAGAGTGCTGAGGTTTGATTCAGATACAGTGAGCAGAGTGCTGTGGTTGGGTTCAGATACAGTGAGCAGAGCTGGGGTTGGGTTTAGATACAGTGAACAGAGCACTGAGGTAAGGTTCAGATACAGTGAGCAGAGTGCTGTGGTTGGGTTCAGATACAGTGAACAGAGCACTGAGGTTGGGTTTAGATACAGTGAACAGAGCACTGAGGTAAGGTTCAGATACAGTGAGCAGAGTGCTGTGGTTGGGTTTAGATACAGTGAACAGAGCACTGAGGTTGGGTTCAGATACAGTGAGCAGAGTGCTTAGGTTAGGTTCAGATACAGTGAGCAGAGTGCTGAGGTTTGGTTCAGATACAGTGAGCAGAGTGCTGGGGTTGGGTTCAGATAAAGTGAGCAGAGTGCTGGGTTTAGGTTCAGATACAGTGAGCAGAGTGCTGAGGTTAGGTTCAGATACAGTGAGCAGAGTGCTGAGGTTGGGTTCAGATACAGTGAGCAGAGTGCTGTGGTTGGGTTCAGATAAAGTGAGCAGAGTGCTGGGTTTAGGTTCAGATACAGTGAGCAGAGTGCTGGGGTTGGGTTCAGATAAAGTGAGCAGAGTGCTGAGGTTGGGTTCAGATACAGTGAGCAGAGTGCTGGGTTTAGATTCAGATACAGTGAGCAGAGTGCTGAGGTTAGGTTCAAATACAGTGAGCAGAGTGCTGAGGTTGGGTTCAGATACAGTGAGCAGAGTGCTGAGGTTGGGTTCAGATACAGTGAGCAAAGTGCTGAGGTTGGGTTCAGATACAGTGAGCAGAGTGCTGAGGTTGGGTTCAGATACAGTGAGCAGAGTGCTGGGGTTGGGTTCAGATACAGTGAGCAGAGTGCTGAGGTTGGGTTCAGATACAGTGAGCAGAGGGCTGGGTTTAGGTTCAGATATGAGGGGGTATCAAAAAAGGTTCCAATTATCACCAAGGACTTACTGAGCAATCAGGATAAAACTTTTACTGTAACATCAGTGATCCCTATCTAGTTAATGGACCAAGAACTATCTACTTCACTTCACTTAATTCAGTCTTGTGCTAGTTGATCCTACACACCAGTACCCCCAAGTATGGAGAAGATTGAGGCGTGCAGTGTCATTAAGTTCTTGCACTTGAAGGGCTGCACTGCACGACAAATTCACGATGAGATGAAAACTGTTGATGGTGATGATAGCCCATCCTATGACACTGTTGTGAGATGGAAAAGGAATTTACAAACCGGTCACATGTCCCTCGCAGGTGAGCCAATAAGTGGACGCCCCTTACTTACTGATGATATGGACACCGTTAACAATGTCGAGGAGCTGGTTCAGGAAGATCGCCGTGTAACAATACAAATGGCTATGCATGAGACCGACTTGAGTTATGACAGTGCATGGAACATCTTTCATAACCAACTGCACATATCCAAAGTGTCAGCATGCTGGGTTCCTCACTTACTGACCCCTCTTCAAAGACAGGCTCGACGGGACATGTCACGACAGGCATTGGAGCTTCTGGAGCAGGGTGAAGAGGATTTCTTCAGACGTCTTGTAACCATGGACGCACAAAGTGACTTTTTCTTGTTCCCAGAGATGAAGAACTCACTTCTTGGACGTTGTTTTGACAACAAGAATGAGGTCATTCAAGAAATGGAGGGTTGGTTTTCTATGAAATCAGGGGACTTCTATTCAGCCAGTCTGCGCAAGGTCAAGAAATGGTGGGAGAAATGTGTAACTCGGGATGGTGACTATGTAGAGAAGTCCTAAGGACAAGAAAGCAAAATAAAGTTTGTACCCTGAATAAGTCTTGGTGAAAATTAGAACTTTTGATATCCCCTTGTACATTGGGCAGAGCACTGGGGTTGGGTTCAGATACAGTTTGTGAATGGAACACTTCAGGTGTTTTCAGATAGTGTGAATGGAATAGTGAATGATCTTCCCTTGTGACTAGTGGATAAAGAACACATGTGGAGGGGAGGGAATATGCATCAGGTGTCATGGAATATGATGTGTGTTTGACAGGGGTCTGACAGACGAGAGTGAGATCCTCAAGTTCCTTCAACATGGCACACTGGTGGGTCTCCTCCCCGTGCCTCACCCAATCCTCATCCGCAAGTACCAGGCTAACAGTGGCACCACCATGTGGTTCCGTACATACCTCTGGGGAGTCATCTATCTCAGGTAGGTGCACTCTTTAAGCAGGAACAGCTGCACCATATTTCTCAATTGGAGCCACATTGTGAAACACGATTTCAGTCAGTAGTGCCTATCAGTAAGTAAGCACTGACATTCAAAAACGTATGTCTGAAGACATATGATTATTTTTATTATGATCATAGGATATTTATATAGTGCACATATCCATGCAGATAGTACATGCTCAAGGCACTGGGATGTCTTCCCTCGATCATTGGATGTCAATCTCAACGGCACATCGTATTATCAACCTCAACTCCCTGATACTATATTCATGAAATGACAAAAATGATAGCACTGTCTGCTGAACTACTTGCCAATCATAATAACTTATATGATTGAATGGCCAGAGGATAAGTCATGTATGTATTCTGTTTCAGAAATGTCGACCCGCCTGTATGGTACGACACGAATGTCAAGCTGTTTGAGATCCAGCGTGTGTGAGGGGATGTCAAGGAAAGGAAGTGTGGATCTTGTGTGAAGGGAGGGATCATTGCAGGAAGTATCAGCACAAGGAAGTGTGGATCTTGTGTGAAGGGAGGGATCATTGCAGGAAGCATCAGCACAAGGAAGTGTGGATCTTGTGTGAAGGGAGGGATCATTGCAGGAAGTATCAGCACAAGGAAGTGTGGATCTTGTGTGAAGGGAGGGATCATTGCAGGAAGCATCAACACAAGGAAGTGTGGATCTTTTCAGTGGGGGTATATCTAAATGTGTGGGACACAGAACAAATATATCCTCAACACCAGCATACCATGACCAATAGTGGCTCTATCGCTGTCAACTTACATATAAATCTGAGTATGGGAGTATCACACATGAAACAGCACTCTGTATCTGATGAGTGTATCTTCGCAGACTAAAATATTGCTACACTTGATAAAATGCTCCAAGAATCTTTATTGGCACTGGCCTACCTAAATTAAGATATATTTTTCAATGGTCGCAAGGACTTGGAGTGAACGAGGTTTCACTTATAGAGACAACTGAAATACAGGATAATGTCACCAGTTGAGTATATTCTGTCATGTGTAAGCTACATCTTCATAGCCATTCCAGTTCATAAAAAGTACATCCATGACTGCCACAACATCACTCTATCAGCTTCAGTATTCAGGATGTGGAAATGTCCCAATTGGTGCAATAGACTGATAGACAACATGCTATGTCGTTTTGGTTGTGTTTTGAGCCTTGACTTTGGTAATGTACATTATGATGACTTTAATTGTAAATTATGTGATAAAGATTTCCACATCCCTGATGTCTGTTAACCACTAGTTCAGAAGGGTAGCCCAGCGGTTAAAGCCCTGGCTCATCATGCCACAGCCCTGGTTTAATTCTACATAGGGTATAATGAGTAAAACATGATTGCATGCCACATGCTGGTACATTGTCTGAATATTACTAGAAGTGTGAAAACCAATTTGCTGAAGGCTAAATCTACTGAAAAACAGTATGTAGGCTCTTGTGTCAGAGCGAGGCAGTAACGTCAAGGGGGTGTTCAAGTCAGTCTGTTATTAAACTGTGTATATGTTCAATATATAGATGTTGTTACTGGATTATGTATCTACTAATCAGGCAAATGACATTTTATAGTCTCCTCCTAACAGCAAAGCTCTTTTAACATCTTATCTCTCTAGTTTGCCATGTTGTTTATTCTAAATTACCATTCCATTTTATTGTTTCTTTGACCATATATTCTGTATATAAAGATTGTGCTGTATATTTCCTCCGAGCTCTTCATCACAAAGACTTCACAATGGGGTGCGCATGTTGTATGAGAATAATTATATTTTACAATGGTATAATAGAAACTGCCATTTGAAATACAGTAAACTATATTCCATGCAGTAATTGGAACATTTGAGACATCAAATTGTCATATGTTGTTCATAATTACTGATTGTAAGTGAATTATACAATTACAGGGAGTAGATTCTTGAGGCATGACATACACCAAGTAGAAATATCCTCTGGGTTATGTATGTTTATATGGGTATCGACTAATGTGACATGAGCTATTTTATTTCTCAAAATACTACAGACTAATTATGATGACACAACTTGAGTTTGTTATTGCCGACAATTTACTGGTGATAGTTCTATCTTAAATTCTGGATTTAACAATACCTAACTGGGTTTGACTGGATTTAACTGTTTTTCTATTATGCATCATGTAACCGAATCTCAAACTCGTTCTCTGTAAGCGTCAATTTCAAATGAATGTTGCATCCCATCATGAGTTCATTGTCACACATAAATATATATACCTGTAAGGGTATGTTGTATATACTCCTTGTTGTGAGTGAGATGTGGAATATGTGACAAGAATGGTCAGGTTCTGTTATCTGTGATCTGCAGCTAGAAGCAAGTGTACTTGCTTATTATGAGACAGTTCATATTGAAGTCAACCGATATACAAACAGGTAGATGAAGTTTATAATCAACCAATACACAGGCAATCTGATGGTTGAAGGTTGAAAGCAACCAATGCCAACAGGTTGATACTGATAAATAGATAGCTGAAAACAACCAGCGCCAACAGGTTAATATCAACTGATATTTTGACAAATAGATGGTTGAAAATAACCAGTGTCAGCAGGCGTAAAGTTTTATCAAGTGCTTGATAATTGAAGGTTGATACACACAAGAAATGCTTATGATCAGGTCCAGTGTTTTGCGTTAAAGTTTCTTTTCCCATGAATTTTGTGTAGATAAATCAGTTGTGTATTCAAGCATTGTGTTCAGTTTTGTAACAGTTTAGAAGAAAATGTTCTTGACTTGTATCAAATTAGTAACAAAAATTGTACACATCATGCCAGCATGGTTTCAAAATGGCTTTTCTTATACTCTGCAGCAATTGAAACGGGTACAAATAACATGAAAGGGCATTGACCCCATGAACATTGTTCTGAGATAGAGGAGGTAATCTGCACCTCACAATAAGTGGACTTTGTGGGATGTTGATCACTGTCAATTGACCTCAATGTTTGAAGTTTCTGTGGAAAAGGCCACAAGCTTATCAATGTCTTATAGCATCTGTTGATTGTTGGAGTAAGTAACAGGTTTGTCGATCAGAATGCAGTTCCAGTAGTTTTGCAGGGAAAGGCAACAGGCACATCCTGTCAAATGTGTGAATACTTGTTTGATTGGGAAAGGTTTGCATTGCATATATCTTTACATTATTTGAGTTTTTGTGTTGTGATAACGGGGTATGTGCAAACAATGTGGTGTATTGTAGACCAGGTGTGCTTGTGTTGTGTTTTGCTGATCATGAATAGTGTTACTTTGTTGATCGTTTGTGTGGCACCACTTAAGTATTCACCATCAATATCAAATACATGTAATTGATGGGAAAGTTGTCATTCGTTTGAAATGTGTTTGTAGGCAGCTTGGCTTGAAGTTTAGGATTCATTGTTACTGAATAAGAATTTATCAATAACTTTTCATACATCAAAAGTACTTTCAAATGGCTTCAGTCACACAAATGTTGTTTCTGTTGTTAGTGCAGCACTCTGGTTATGTTGTTTTGCAGTGTGGAGTCAGGTAGAATTAGTGTTCATATCTAGGTCTAATAATTGCTTGTTTATTGATATTTTATTTAAAACTGGAGTCAGTCATCAAATTACAAGATAGCTTTTTTATTGACTTATTTTCTGAAGAAAACTGTTGGTGAGGTGAAATAAATTGTAATGAAAATGTCAATTGGCATCCAAGACTGCTCTACATTTTGGTTCATTCAAAAATAAAAACGATAAACTAGGCAGAGGAAGAAAAACTTCAGTAATTTTAAGTTTTGTTTCTCTGTGTGAAATTGTGGGTCAGGGGAAACTGTTAACCAAGTTTTTAGATAGAAAAACCTGTTTCTTTCCACACATCTATACAGAGGTGATGGTGGCATAGCTGTCTAATAGGTGTACTCAGCAGATCGAAAGAATATATAGGTACCCAATACTAATGAACATATTCACTGTAAAACAATGCAAGGATAATGAATAATCTTTCCTACAAAGTTTGTCCATTAAACAGCTTTGTTCATGGGAACCATATAACTTGTATCAAAATCCCACTGTCATACTTGTTAACAAATATACATCATGTCACAAAGTTTGAATGGGTGACCATGGTCAGCTGAAGTCACTAGACTGTTTCATTTCTTTGTGCCTCACTTTCAGTCGCTCTTTGTTCTTTGTAGTGCTTGTCCTGTTATGTAACTCAGTGTAAAAGAAATCCTGTGAAGCATTTGTAAATAAAGTCAAGTGTACAAACTGTTTGCATTGTTTGGTTTTCATTTGTACTGACAACAGCAGAAACCCATGAAGAAGTATCTGACTTTCAGTTAATTGCTGTTATTTGATGTATCAGGATCTGGTGATTATGAGGTTAATTTTAGTATTATTCCCATTGTGATCCATACCTGTGCTCATGTGCTTTACAAAATCTTTTCATCAAGACCCTCTTCTGTTATGCTTATGATTGTAGACCCTCAAGACTGACTGACTGAGTTTGGTTTTACGCCGCTTTTAGCAATATTCCAACATCACGGCGGGGGACACCAGAAATGGGCTTCACACATTGTGCCCATGTGGGGATTCGAACCCGGGTCTTCGGCGGGACGAGCCAACGCTTTAACCATTAGGCTACCCCAACGCCCAGACCCTCAAGAAGAGAACCTACATGCAAAAACTTGCACTTCATCTTTGCATCTAACACAAGTAGTGAGGACTGACTCAGTAATCTCTGGTGGTTGTGCTCTTCAACTCTGCATTAACTCACTTCTCGACCTTATGAACAGGACTCCATTTTCACTTTAAAGCTTTTAATTTCTATTTTAGAAACTTTAATTAAATAGTTACAAATGCTCCAACCATGTGAAACATGGAAACACAAATACAAATGACTGTATAGGAACATGACATACACAGCTCAGATAGCCAGCAAAGATGGAAAAGCATGGTCCTATGTATGCACCCACAGGAACATGTGTCTTCCGCATCCTGGGGTTAAGTTGATAATTAGCAGTTGACCTTCATGCAATACTGACATGACAGGTGATGTCAACACAGAAGTGATTCTTCATAGAAAATTGACAAACCATCAAGGAAAATATATCTGTTCTGCGAGTTTGGTATTTCATTATAGCTTACAGTAGTCAATATTCCATTCACTGGTATACCCCATAAATTAATATAAAGAAAACGTCTATAACACCGGCAATTGGTACATCAACACAATTGTAAGGAATGGTTAATATCCTTGACCTTGCAGTGAACAATCCACATGCTCAAGTATTATCTAACTTGAGCCCCAAGGTCAAGGTTAGTAACTATTTTACACACTGGCATAGAAGCAAAAACTTTTACGACAACCAATGCACATTCAAATTAATATCTCGGCACCTGCTCCTTCTACTGTATTGTGACTTAAGGATATGAACACCTATGACAATCAATAGAGATAGTATGTAACCAAGGCTGCAGCAGGACAGGTACTTCTTTAACAGAGAGATGACAGATCTGAATAATCAGAGGCACAGGTAGGTAAGGAAACCGACATTGTAAAGACTGATCATAACAGGTGAGGATGGGTCAGTCTGGGTTGTGAACAGCAATAAAACTGATACATTCTTAATGAAAACACTACCTAATGATCCCTGACCACAATGCAGTACAACTTACAAGTGCAAGGGTTGACCTGCCAGATAGACCTCAAACAGCCATTATACTGTCATGAGCTATTTGTCATTTAGCAATAAATATGCTGGCAGTTAGATCAAAGAGTCATGTACAATGTGTACTGCTGAAAATGTTCAGAATACTTGTCATCTAACAAAAAAGTGTCATGTACATGCAACTTAGATCTATCTTATTTTTATCAAGACATGAGGGCATTGTGAAGTCACTTTCTCCAGCATATGTAAACTTTCATAAATCAACATTAACTTAAAATAAGTGCACCAATAGCGAACAGTGTCATTCACATTCTACATAATCTACAAACATGAATAGAAAATGCACTGTGCTCAGATCAGAGAAAAGTATCAATGAGTAACGGAGTGTTGCTATTTTAGCATCTGTTTTGTATGCTTAATAAATAAGGGAAATCAATACATTAAATCCAGTTGATCAAGTTCCAATTCCTTTACAGCATAACATCATTGCCTTCAAAATCATTGTCATATGATAACTGTGTATGTCAATCCCATTTGTTTTAATGAAATAATCAATACACATATAATTTATCAATCATAAAATGACCAGTTGCTTTTCATGTTTTCAGGGACTAATAAATGCAAACTGCTGAAAAAGTTGAGTGCAGGTATTATAGGTTAAAATGAGTCATAAGAATACCAATGAATCCTCTGTGCACTCCTCCATTCTCAACCAGTACACTGTGATAATATCCGTATTTCATTACAAATGTGTGGAAAAAAATATCCTCAGATATATAATCTGAGCCCTCTGCTTCAAATCTGGCAGGATATGATATGAAATAAAATGTGTCAATAATTGTTGATCCACATATGCACATAACTAAACACTAAATGATATGAAAACATCAGTGGTGACAATGGCAGGTCATTGTAAAATATCACAGTAGTTTCAGATCCATGGACTTTCAGGCCATCCTGATGCATCAAAGATGCATCACAACCTAACACTACGCCTGACACAACACTTACGTCATGCAGAAGAATGACATAGCAACTGTCGTAGAATCACCAATCATAGACATACTGACATGGCATGACACCATTCCAAGTCATTCAGCACACTGCAGCTATGCCATGATACAAGATGACAATACAATGTGACAATAATGGACTCAGGCAGCATCACATAACACTAGACTGATGTAACAGGACTCAACACTAGACTGAATATGACTTAACACTTAGGCTGATACAGCATGACAACACCACATCAATTCAGCATGACTCAACACTGGATTGATGCAGCATGACTCAACACTGGATTGATGCAGCATGACCTAACACTGGATTGATGCAGCATGACCCAACAATGGATTGATACAGCATGACCCAACAATGGATTGATGCAGCATGACCCAACGCTGGATTGATGCAGCATGACCCAACACTGGATTGATGCAGCATGACCCAACACTGGATTGATGCAGCATGACCCAACACTGGATTGATGCAGCATGACCCAACACTGGATTGATGCAGCATGACCCAACACTGGATTGATGCAGCATGACTCAACATGCAGCTGGACTGGATTGATGCAGCATGACTCAACACTGGATTGATGCAGCATGACTCAACACTGGATTGATGCAGCATGACTCAACACTGGATTGATGCAGCATGATCCAACGCTGGATTGATGCAGCATGACCTAACGCTGGATTGATGCAGCATGACCCAACGCTGGATTGATGCAGCATGACTGAACACTGGATTGATGCAGCATGACTGAACACTGGATTGATGCAGCATGACCCAACACTGGATTGATGCAGCATGACCCAACAATGGATTGATGCAGCATAGCTCAACACTGGACTGATGAAGCATGACTCAACACTGGATTGATGCAGCATTACTCAATACACAATTGATGCAGCATGACTGAACACTGGATTGATGCAGCATGACTGAAAACTGGAAGATTGATGCCACATGACTATAAAACTAGTATGATGAAACAACAGTGATGTTGCATGACACCAACACTAGAATCACGCAACATGTCATGAAATATGACTCAACACTTGATTGACTTGCATGACTTCACCAGAGCTATGCAACACCACCCATCATGACACAGCAGCCTACCAGAACACTAGCAATCATGACACAACAGAACCGTAACACCGGAGTCAGGACACAAGTTTAGAGTCATAATTAGGGTAGTATTGGGTCTAGACATAACACAAGGATTGTACAACATAACACTGTTGTCATTCAACATGACATAGAACTCGGTTTGTACACCAAGCACCTGATCTCATTCAACAGCAGCACTAACAAAAAATCACAAATAACTGATATGTAACTAAAGCTTCACAAGTACCATAACATCAACAAGACATATCTGAGAAATGAATCAACGTAAAGGGTAACTTGTTACATTGAAACAGTACAAAACAATGGATTCTTAGGCAATGAAAATATATGAGTGGACGGCTGTTTTTTTTCTTTTCTTTTTGATACAAAGTGTATGTCTGCAAGCAGTCAAATAATATTTCAAATATATTTCTGCAGTGATATTGTGGGGGTGTATTACTGAAATCAGCTGTGCCAAAGAATCAAAGATGTATTTCACGTTTTGTGTAAAATAAATACTCATGTAATAGTACAAAGCATTGAAACATAAAATACTATTTACATACCTGGTCTGAAGCTATTACAAACTTACAAAGAATATATATCAGGACTTTGTGGGCGCTTACTACAACACATCAATGGCACAACAACAAAGTGTATATTGATGTATATATATGTGAGTGATAAACACAATGAACCAGAGGTACTGAAGCTCACCTTAATTTAATGGCATCAAATCTGAGCATTAATGTGAGTACCATTATGTAGAGTAATGAAGTTCCACTTTAGCAGTATATTTTAGCAGTATAGTTTAAGTTTTGTTAATAAGCAAACTGTTAAAATAGACATGATACTGTTATCAAATCAGCCATTGTACAAGGATGTTTCTGATGATCTGAAAATATTTTCTGGTCTATAGGAATATGAAAATTATCACAATTGGTCAAGTTTGAACTACATAATGCTTACTATAAAGTTAGTCAGCCTATCCTTCATTGTTCGATAAAACCACTTGCCATGGAATATGATTCAGATTGGAAAGCTCTCTAAGTTCAGTGAGCAAAATCAAAGCTAGCCATATTGTGACCATCAGTGTATGACAACATTGATCCCTTTAGGGTACTATGTAGCCTTCTTCCCCAGGAGCTGTTTTCGCTGTTGGTTGAGGAGCCCCTCAAGGTGGTCAGCACGCTTGGTGGCAGCTTGATACTGCTGCCGCAGTTGGTTTACCACCTCCTCTTTCTTCACAATGGCCTGCTTCACCCTGACAACACAAACATCCACCATTACAGCACCCTGACAACACAAACATCCACCATTACAGCACCCATTACAGCACCCTGACAACACAAACATCCACCATCAACCTGACAACACAAACACCATTGACAACACACAAACATCCTGACAACACAAACATCAACCATTACAGCACCCTGACAACACAAACATCAACCATTACAGCACCCTGACAACACAAACATCCACCATTACAGCATCTTGACAACACAAACATCCACCAGCATCTTGACAACACAAACATCAACCATTTGACAACACAAACATCCACCATTACAGCACCCTGACAACACAAACATCCACCATTACAGCATCCTGACAACACAAACATCCACCATTACAGCACCCTGACAACACAAACATCCACCATTACAGCATGACAACACAAACATCAACCATTACAGCACCCTTGACAAACACAAACATCCATCCATTACAGCATCTTGACAACACAAACATCACCATTACAGCATCTTCTGACAACAAACAAACATCACACAAACATCACCATTACAGCATCTTGACAACACAAACATCCACCATTACAGCACCCTGACAACACAAACATCACCATTACAGCACCCTGACAACACAAACATCACACCATTACAGCACCCTGACAACACAAACATCCACCATTACAGCATCTTGACAACACAAACATCCACCATTACAGCATCTTGACAACACAAACATCCACCATTACAGCATCTTGACAACACAAACATCCACCATTACAGCATCTTGACAACACAAACATCCACCATTACAGCATCTTGACAACCTGACCATTACACAGCACAAACATCCACCATTACAGCATCTTGACAACACAAACATCCACCATTACAGCATCTTGACAACACAAACAAACATCCATCATTACAGCACATTGACAACACAAACATCCACCATTACAGCATCCTGACAACACAAACATCCACCATTACAGCATCTTGACAACACAAACATCCACCATTACAGCATCTTGACAACACAAACATCCACCATTACAGCATCTTGACAACACAAACATCCACTATTACAGCATCTTGACAACACAAACATCCACCATTACAGCATCTTGACAACACAAACATCCACCATTACAGCATCTTGACAACACAAACATCCACTATTACAGCATCCTGACAACACAAACATCCACCATTACAGCATCTTGACAACACAAACATCCACCATTACAGCATCTTGACAACACAAACATCCACCATTACAGCATCTTGACAACACAAACATCCACTATTACAGCATCTTGACAACACAAACATCCACCATTACAGCACTCTTGACAACACAAACATCCACCATTACAGCATCTTGACAACACAAACATCCACCATTACAGCATCCTGACAACACAAACATCCACCATTACAGCACCCTGACAACACAAACATCCACCATTACAGCACCTTGACAACACAAACATCCACCATTGCTGCATCTTGACAACACATCCACCATCCACCATTACAGCACTCCTGACAACACAAACATCCACCATTACAGCACCTGACAACACAAACATCCACCATTACAGCACCCTTGACAACACAAACATCCACCATTACAGCATCTTGACAACACAAACATCCACCATTACAGCATCTTGACAACACAAACATCACCACCATTACAGCAGCACCCTTGACAACACAAACATCCACCATTACAGCACCCTGACACACAAATCATCCACCATGACAGCATCTTGACAACACAAACATCCACCATTACAGCAGCCTCTGACAACACAAACATCAACCATTACAGCACCCTGACAACACAAACAAACATTCCACCATTACAGCACCCTGACAACACACATTAAGCATCCACAACACAACATCCAGCATCTGGACTTGACAACACAAACATCCACTATTACAGCATCTGGACAACACAAACACTATTACACAACTACACAAACATCACCATTACAGCACCCTGACAACACAAACATCAACCATTACAGCACCCTGACAACACAAACATCCACCATTACAGCATCTTGACAACACAAACATCCACTATTACAGCATCTTGACAACACAAATATCCACCATTACAGCATCTTGACAACACAAACATCCACCATTACAGCATCTTGACAACACAAACATCCACTATTACAGCATCTTGACAACACAAACATCACCATTACAGCACCCTGACAACACAAACATCCATCATTACAGCATCTTGACAACACAAACATCCACTATTACAGCAACTTCACAACACAAACATCACCACTACAGCACCCTGACAACACAAACATCCACCATTACAGCACCCTGACAACACAAACATCCACCATTACAGCACCCTGACAACACAAACATCCACCATAACAGCACCCTGAAAACACAAACATCACCATTACAGCATCCTGACAACACAAACATCCACCATTTCAGCACCCTGACAACACAAACATCCACCATTACAGCACCCTGACAACACAAACATCACCATTACAGCACCCTGACAACACGAACATCCACCATAAAAGCACCCTGACAACACAAACATCCACCATAACAGCACCCTGACAACACAAACATCACCATTACAGCATCCTGAAAACACGAACATCCACCATAACAGCACCCTGACAACACAAACATCACCATTACAGCATCCTGAAAACACAAACATCACCCTTACAGCACCCTTACAGCACCTTGACAACACAAACATCAACCATGATAGCACCCTTGACAACACAAACATCCACCATTACAGCATCTTGTCAACACAAACATCATCCATTACAGCACCTTGTCAACACAAACATCATCCATTACAGCACCTTGACAACACAAACATCAACCATTACAGCACCCTGACAACACAAACATCCACTATTACAGCATCTTGACAACACAAACATCCACCATTACAGCATCTGGACAACACAAACATCCACTATTACAGCATCTTCACTACACAAACATCACCATTACAGCACCCTGACAACACAAACATCAACCATTACAGCACCCTGACAACACAAACATCCACCATTACAGCATCTTGACAACACAAACATCCACTATTACAGCATCTTGACAACACAAATATCCACCATTACAGCATCTTGACAACACAAATATCCACTATTACAGCATCTTGACAACACAAACATCCACTATTACAGCATCTTCACAACACAAACATCACCATTACAGCACCTTGACAACACAAACATCAACCATTACAGCACCCTGACAACACAAACATCAACCATTACAGCACCTTTCACAACACAAACATTACATCACAGCATCTTACAACACAAACTTTACAATCTTCACAACACACACATTACAGCACCCTCACAACACAAACATTACAGCACCTTCACAACACAAACATACACCATTCACAAGCACACTACAGCACCTTCACAACACAAACACTACAGCACCTTCACAACACAAACATTACAGCACCTTCACAACACAAACACTACAGCACCCTCACAACACAAACACTACAGCACCTTCACAACACAAACACTACAGCACCTTCACAACACAAACACTACAGCAGCACCCTCACAACACAAACATTTACAGCTTTCACAACACAAACACTACAGCACCCTCACAACACAAACATTACAGCACCTTCACTTCACAACACAAACACTACAGCACCTTCACAACACAAACATTACAGCACCCTCACAACACAAACACAAACACTTACAACACAAACACTTCACAACACAAACACTACAGCACCTTCACAACACAAACACTACAGCACCTTCACAACACAAACACTACAGCACCCTCACAACACAAACACTACAGCACCCTCACAACACAAACACTACAGCACCCTCACAACACAAACACTACAGCACCTTCACAACACAAACACTACAGCACCTTCACAACACAAACACTACAGCACCTTCACAACACAAACACTACAGCACCTTCACAACACAAACACTACAGCACCTTCACACAACACAAACACTACAGCACCTTCACAACACAAACACTACAGCACCTTCACACAACACAAACACTACAGCACCTTCACACACACAAACACTACAGCACCTTCACAACACAAACACTACAGCACCTTCACAACACAAACACTACAGCACCTTCACAACACAAACACTACAGCACCTTCACAACACAAACACTACAGCACCTTCACAACACAAACACTACAGCACCTTCACAACACAAACACTACAGCACCTTCACAACACAAACATTACAGCACCCTCACAACACAAACACTACAGCACCCTCACAACACAAACACTACAGCACCTTCTACAACACACAAACACTACAGCACCCTCACAACACAAACACTACAGCACCCTCACAACACAAACACTACAGCACCCTCACAACACAAACACTACAGCACCCTCACAACACAAACACTACAGCACCTTCACAACACAAACACTACAGCACCCTCACAACACAAACACTACAGCACCCTCACAACACAAACACTACAGCACCTTCACAACACAAACATTACAGCACCTTCACAACACAAACATTACAGCACCCTCACAACACAAACACTACAGCACCTTCACAACACAAACACTACAGCACCCTCACAACACAAACACTACAGCACCCTCACAACACAAACATTACAGCACCCTCACAACACAAACATTACAGCACCCTCACAACACAAACACTACAGCACCCTCACAACACAAACACTACAGCACCCTCACAACACAAACATCAACCATAACAGCACGCCATGATAATACATGTAAACCCATTCATTAACACAATAATACACTTAGACCTAGGAACATGCGTAAAAAACATTTAAGAAGTTTGAATTGAAACATCTTTCTCTATGAACTTCATACTTCTGAATCCCAGTATGATACAGTTGTACTGCTGACTCCATGAATACCTATAATCAGAGATTCCATACCTCTTGTGGACCTCCTCCATCTCATCATCCTTTTGCCTTTTGATTTCTTCAATGTCATTCTTTCCCCGCTCTATTTCAATTCTGTGTTTTGCTCTCAGTTCTGACATTTCATTTTTCAATCTTTTGTTTTCCTCCTCCGTGGTTACAATACGGTCTGCAAACTCCTGTCGAATGATATCTGACACATGGCTACGTTCCTCATGAAGCCTGTCTGTCAGCTGCAATTCAGAGCACAATACAATAAATATTAGCTAAAAATATTTGACGGGACAGTTCTGTAGGAAACTGATTTAATCAGTCTGTATTGCAAGTAACTGCTTTGCATGAACAGTCATTGTGTAAATCAATTTATCTGCAAATATGAGATTGAACTATAACTCCCGTATACTAGAGATATTATGTGACAAGTATAAAGTATATGACTCTACAGTTCTGTGGTAAAGATTTGAAGATTTAAAGTATATGATTCAGGTGAATCAGTTGATATTGTTATATAAAATTTGAACTAGACAATTATCAGGTAAATCAAACATTGATGTATTTACAGTATTTAACTGACAGTTAGGAATGGTCTTTATAATGGTAACCTCAGACTGACACAGCTGCACACAGGTTTCCGGGCTTTACCTTCTTTATATCCAGTACTTCTTGATCCTTCTGTCTAACAATGACCTTCAACCTTTCACATTCACCCTCAATCTCTGTCAGCTGAGCCTGTAAGATAGAAACTTGATCCTCATCTTCATCTACTCAGTTATAACAAAGTCCCACTACAAATTATACAAACACCTTGGACCTTATAGCTGAGTAATAGTCATAAATGGCAAACCGTTTTATTAATATGGCTGTGGTGGCCATTACATGTAGTTTGAATTTGAACCTCTCTGCGGGTTGTCATTGTTGGAGGAAAAAGCTGTGCCATTTCAGCTTCAATGGCCTAGGGCTTTCAAAGAAGATGATGTTTACAGTCCAAATAAATGCACTTTGAGAGACTGTAAGAGGATGTTCAAATGAACAAGATCCAAACAAATTTCTGTTTGACTGGCATTTTAGAAGTTGGTGAGTAATAAGAAAGTAAGATTCTTTATGGATAACAACTTCTTTATTATATAGGAAGCGATGTCAAGCAAGACTCTTGCTTGACAACGGTATAAAAATCCATACCAAAACATTGCATCATATATGATAAAGAAGTTGTTATCCATAAAAAATCTCACTTTCTTACCAAACAAATTTCGAAAAAAAGGAGCATGCATTGAGTCCAATTATTAACAAGACATATACCAAATTACACTGTATATAACCACACACAAAATGACAGATACAAGACTAACACCAATCTTGACACCAATGATTTGTTATTTTCCCTGAAACAGATATCTCATACATATCCATATTTATTGACCTCTCCTGACATAGTTGCATGCCTTTGTTGAGTGTCAGTGATTCAGTGTTAACATACTGTTGTGACATCTCACCTTCATCTCATTGTACTTCTGTACTGCATGCCTCTCTCTGAACTCTCCAGCTCCTTCATTTCATTATTGAACTTGTCCCGCATCCGTCTGAAGGAAACAGAAATTGGTATGTGGACTAACTGAAGATCAGTGTTATCTAATGGTAACTCAGAGTCAGTCACAGGTTATTAACCTTAAGATGCATGTTTTCATGCAGCTGACAAGGAAAGTTGCTTGATTGTGTTTATCAAACAGTATAAACTGGGTCAGGAGTACTCAGTGGTATGCAAGCAGCTTGAAGAGATGAGGCATTTTAGTGAACTTTCCTGATCAGATTACTGATACTGAGTGACATCATATAGTTAAAGAAACGAAAGGGAGGGATTATACATTTAATCATGAACTGGCCAGTTGACAGTCTGTAGAAATGAAAGCAATGTGCCTCCTTACTTTTTGTTGTTGTTGGTCTAAAGAATAACTACACCATGAAACTATTATTACTTGCAGCTTTTGCAGTAATTTCCTACTGACAAAAACATTCCCGGGTGCTGTTGTACAAAGCGATCTAAGCACTAAGGTGACTGTAACTCCCATACCTTAACATAGACTTAAGGTAGTCTTAGCGCCTAAGGTTGTTTTGTACAACAACACCCAGATCTACATGTATAGATACAGACACATGTATAGTGAACGAACTAGAACACATTTTTTGAATACTATAAAGCATATGATGGTTGAGTGGGTTAGAGTGCTGACATTGTGTGCTGGTGATTAGACTCTTTGAGAGTGTGGGGGTTCGTATCTGAGAAGGGACTCAATCCAAAATGTACTAGAATCTGTACTTTACTGATAAAGTGTAATCCCATATACAACATACATTGCATATGACCACTTACTAAATTGCATTCATATAAATCATGAATTACAACTGTGAAAATTGTCAGGAAGGAGGACTAAGACATGTATGCTTGATGTCTGTCTAAACATGTAATTTTTCAAGTAAAATTGATATTTTTATACTTATCCTGACTCATGGTCTTTTGCTTATCTCCCTTTTCTTTTTGAATGGTAGTGAAACACTTGAATCCCTTTAAGTTTCCAAAGCGGACGTAAAAATACACTCACCCACGAGTTACCTCCCTTTTGCCATTTCCAGCGCAAACAGTCATGTGACTAGCTTTACTTGTCACTCTCTCCTGATTTTCTGCCCATGCACTTGGATCTGCTGTGAAATCCAAAGGGTTTCCAGCAGGGAGGTTGGGAGGGCTTCTTGTCATGAGTCAGGATAAGTATAAATATATCAATTTTACTTGAAAAAATTACATATTTTTTCTTAGCCCGACTCATGATCTTTTGCTTATGGAATCCGACGGATTGGTGGTGGGTCAAGCCACTTCGTGGATTCATCAGCTGTCCTTAGACACGTCCTGTATCCCGCCCATGGGAACTGCAAAACGGCATTTCCGTGATCCTATTCTTCCAACTTTCGTTATAACTCAGGGGGACCACTTTCTTGTCTTACTTCAGTCTCAGACAAGTTGAATCATGTTGATTCATGTGGCTTCAGATAAACTAGTATCTTCTTTTTACTAGATATCTTATAACAACCCATAGATTATGATAAGATCTTTATCATAAATGAGTTGCCACCCCTTCACGTACAGGTAAGATCTTTACCCGTACAGGATCTTTAATCACTCATGCTAGCCTGTCCTAGACTGTGTGCATGGACTTTCAAACTAATACTTTTCCTTAGTAACAGTTATCAACAAGTCACCATGATAAAGGGTGAGATTTTACAACTCAGCGCCTTTGAGGAACCGTTAGTTGCTGTGCTACAACGAGAGGCCCAAATTGGTGAATGCCTGAGATGTCTTCAGTGGCTATGTCTCGGAGGTAGTGGTTGGCAAACACTGTGTCCGACTTCCCAAAGCAGCCCTCCATAATTGCAGATATAGAGCATTTTCCATGCAGATCCAATGTTGAAGCCAGTGCTCTGACTTCATGTGGGTTGGAAGCTCTAGGAGGTTCTAGTCCTGCTGCTTTATAGGCTCTCAATATGACGGCTCTCATCCAGAACGATATTGTCGGAGCTCTGAACTTCTTTTGCGGATCCTCCAGTTTAAAAGATCTCAGCAGAGCAAGTAATTCTGGTACTTTTGTCAACTTGATGCCTGTTTTCATGGTAATCACTGTACTGATGGCAGCGAGGTATGTACATAATGTCGAACCTTTCAGATGTCTGGTCTATCTAAGATGACACAGGTATTCCGCCACTTGAGGATGAGTAGCTTTCATCGCAATGAAGCCTTTCCGCCTTGCATAAGTCTCAAACTTCAGCCACTTGTCATCATACAGGTTACGAGTAGATCTGCCTAACGCTAGTGTTACTGCCTTGGCTGCCCTGGCGGAGTATCCTCTTTTCTTCAAACATGTTTTGATACGGTAAACACGAGTGTTGGTGGAATGCTGTCGGGTTCACGTGGACTTGATTGGTGTGCGGATGTACGAGTAGGTTCGGCCAATCTGGTAACTTGATTGTTGGACTTCCGAGATCTTCTATTAGGTCTAGGAACCATACTCTCGCTGGCCAGTATGACGCGACCATAGTCAGGTGTAGCGCCTGTGTCTGTTTGATCTTTAACAGTAGTAGTAATATCGGGGGTTGGAAATGAGTAAGCGTTTAGTCCTTCCCATGATATGCTCAGTGCATCTGTTGCCCAGGCTTGAGGATCTGGATCTGGCGAGACAAACGTCTGTAGTTGTTTGTTGAAGTTCGTGGCAAACAGGTATATGCAAGGGGATCCTATTTCCCTTATGATGAGCCAGAACGCTCCTGGATGGAGCATCCATTCCGTAGGTGACAGGTGCAGTGGTCGGGAGAGAGCGTCTGCAAGTCAGCATTCTGTTGTTCAGCAAGCTCGACCATAGTTGTAAGGCATTGATCACGGCTTTCATCTCCAGCAGATTGATTTGAAGATGCTGCTCTATTTTGGACCACCTTCCTGATGCAACTTGATTGTTGAGATGCGCACCCCAGCCTTGTATCGAAGCATCTGCGTAGAGATGTGTGTCGAAGGCCAGCTCTTGTAAATAGGTCCCTCCGCAAACGTTCGACCTGTGTGTCCACCACAGTAGATACCTCTTGAGGTTGTCCAGCAGCAAGATTGGGTCGACGCTGTCTAGATGTTTTGTCAGGAACCGTTGCAGCAGTCTTAGTTGTACCCTTCCTGTGCGAGTCAAGTCCTGTGCCGAGGTTAGTAGACCAAGTAAAACTTGCCATGATTGTAGTGTTAACGGAGAGATGACTGCTTGTGGAATCATGGCTTGTATCTTGACCCAACGATCTTCTGGGACGACAATACGATTCTGTGTTGTGATAAACCTTATCCCCAGAAATTGTAGATCTTGTATTGGTTCCAACTCTGACTTCATAAGGTTCACCAACCATCCTAGTTGAGTGAACAAATTAATCGTGAAGTTCAGCTGTAGTCTGAGTTGACTGGCATCTTGATGAACCTGAATTCCGTCGTCCAAGTAGAAGGCATTGCGTAGACCTCGATGATGTAGATATGCGACTATAGGCATAGTTACTCATGTCAATAGCCACGGAGCCGAAGATATTCCAAACGGTAGGACAGGGACGGGAACCCCAGGAATCCTCAACGGACCCTGCGCCAGCACCGAGAGGGGGACTGGGAGCGAACCCTCCCCCTCAGGGGCAACCGAGGTGTCTCGAACCGAAGCCAAAGGCAAAGGATCAACAGTCGCCTCCAGGCCAAGGGATCGATCTGGGCTCGGCTATCCCAGCCCCGACTCTCGGTCCCCTGTTCAGAGTGGGCGAGGAACTCCTGCCGGAGACCTCCAACGGACTCGTGAACGAGGGACTTCACAGAGTCCATATGCTGCTGAAACAATTGAGTGATGATTGACATATCAAAACCACTAGATTGGGATTGAGATTGAGAATGCTAAGCTTGCTTAGCCTTTTTGGCCTTGGACCGGGAAACCTCCTGGGTCAGTTCCCCTCCCGCCTCCCGCAATTCCTTATAAAAAAGGAAATCAGCCGCCCGTCTCTGATACACAGGCCATACACAGTTCGCAGAATTCAGGTTTATGCCCTGTTTTCTCTAAACAGCACAAGCATTTGTCATGCTAATCAGCTCTAGGGATATTCTGCCCACAGACAGTACACCCAGTAAATGCCTGAAGCACACATGCAAGCATGTAGCTAACGGCGAACACAGCAGCATAAATATACACGTACAGAACATTGAAAATAACGTGAATGCGACAACGCGACATGAAATACTTGGTTAATAACACAATATTTCAACCACGTGGCACGCCAAAATTCCCGCCATGGAAAAGCAACACGTGCGTAAACCACAGGAAAGCTAGCGTAAAAATTTAATACAAAGTCACATAAATGAGAAATAACAGACTGCAAAGTCAATAAAACTGTTCTCTCAAGAACGAATAAAGACCATGCATTCAGATGTTGAAGTCTCAGACATTCTTCTCAACAGAAGTAAATCAGCTAGTAACTCGGAACACGTGTGAACGCTTGAGTGACAGCAGAAGGAATGATGATAGGGGCCTAGGTGCTTACCTGGTTGGCTGCGCATGCGTAGCAGGGAGGTAACTCCACATGGTGGGGCCGATAATAGATAAAAAAGATTTTTATTTATTGTACAATATTTTTATTAAAACATTGATACAACTGTCACATGACATTTTCAGCCGCAGAAAATGCATATACAGTCAGGCCGCGGTAATCCGGTCCTCGTTAATCCTAATCCACCGACTTCCGAACGCACTACTCACTGGGCACCAAATCATCTCCCTATATATTGTATATAATTGACACCTCGTTAGTCCAATGATTCAGTTTCCGCCTCCGAACGCTGGTAAGTCGGAACGGATTGGACTAATTAAGTTGTAAACAGCTGCGTTAATCCGAACGATTGAAGTTGACCGCGCTGCTGACTTGTCCACCCAAAGTTACACTTTGTTTGTTTAGCGACTTAGCGACTCATCCCTTTGATCCCTTTATTATAAGTGATAGGGACATTTCGACGACCACGCTGTTTTGGGAAAGACTTCAATCCAGAAATATATGCTCGGTACCGTTTCAACACGAATTAAAATTATAAACTATTTTTCGCAATGTTATTGAAAACAACGATTCTCGGACACATGCTTCGGCAGCGGGTCCACAATAACATTGTCAAAGAGCAAAGTAACGATGTTTCGAGGAATTCATTAAATAAATTGAATAAACTAATGAATAAAATCTAAATCTAAAAGTTTTCGTCTACGAGGACAGTATCCATTGCCGTAATATGATTGGCTGCCTTAGGTCACGTGTCTGATTTTGACCAATCACGACCCTTATAGCAGACTGTAGCGAAAAAGCGTCATTAGAAACCAATTTTTATCCAATAAAATCGCTTCTTACAACTGTGAAAATACTCTCGGCAAGGGTTCAGTGATGTTGTTGATGTTCAGAGCTTTCGAACGATACCCGACATCAAACGATTCGCCTCCCATATTATTCATACGACGCTTCGAAAACGGAGGTATTTTCTGTTGTTATGTCATGTTACCGAGCGGAAAGCCACAAATATGGGGAAATAGGCGACCATACATATTATTTAAGAAATCTTTTTATAATAATTTTCTGATGACGTAAAAATGAAAATATAAAAGAAAAAGCCACGGGCATGTTATGACATGTCACAAATGGAAAAAAATCGCCATAGTTTTTGCTTCTTTCGTGGTTTATCTGGACGTTATAATTTCCTTCATAAACATAGGCTTCATCTATGACCTCAGAGTCTCGATAGTAAGGAAAGATATCAAGGGGAAGTAACTCGGTGCATATACTGTGGTTTCAGCAGTACGAACGTTTCACTATCCGAACGTTTTCTTTAAAAAACCAAAGTGTTCGTATTAACGAGGTCTGACTGTATGTACCCCAAGGACGATCTCTATGAAAAAGAATCAAGTGTTCCACTACCATTCGAAAAGCAAAGGGAGATAAGCAAAAGATCATGAGTCAGGATAAGAAAAAATAATATGTCTTCCCCATGATAAAAAGTTGCAGTCACTTACTTGATCCTGTTTTCTGCAGCTCGCTCACATTCCTCCCTGGACCGAGTGGCGTCCTCTTCCAGCCGCTGTATAACCATCTCTATCTCCTTGTCTCGGTCTCGACGTACATGGGACTTCAGTTCTCGCTCCTTCTGTGCTAGCCATGTCTCCTGTTTCTTCATGTAGTTCTCCTCCCATGCTTCTTTCTCAACACGCAAACGTTCGTTCAGTTCACGGACCTCGATCTGCAGAAATCAAGGACATTTACCAACACTAAAATCACTGTATTTGTATGGAGTTCAGTAACACTGTAGCTACAACAATGTGGCTGGGAGCAGCAGAATCATTCATGGTGTACGATGATATACTTGGTCCTACTTGGTGGTCACTTGCTTCAGGAATAACCATAAGCCTGGCCATAGGGGAATGAAGACCTGTGATGCAAATATCATTTGACAAGCAGAGCAATTTAAACGTTGTTTAATGACACACAGCAATATGCTGTATGGTGGTGGTCTGTAAATAATCATGAGTGAGTTTAGTTTTACGCTGCACTCGGCAATATTCCAGCTATATGGTGGCGGTCTGTAAATAATCGAGTCTGGACCAGACAATCCAGTGATCAACAGCAGGAGCATCGATCTGCGCAATTGGGGTAAATAATCTGGATCAGATGATCTACTGTTTGACATTATGAGCATTGTTCAATGCATTTGGGATATGATGACATGTCACTAACCATGCCACCAAGGCCATCCGTTTAGTCACCTCTTACAACAAGCAACGGCTGCTGGGGACCTATATAATAATAATAATAATAATAATAATAATAATAATAATAATGTCCACTTGTATGACGCCGTTTCCACACACTAGTGTATGCTCGTGGCGCCCCGTGTGTAAAGCTAAAAAACTGCAGCAATTGTACAAGTCATTCGTAATATTTCCTGAAAAGATGGGTCTTCAATGAAGATTTGAATAAGTCAAGAGATTTTGCTGTTTTGAAGGCTATGGGAAGACTGTTCCACAGTGAAGGACATTGGAACATTATTTCATAAACTGTCCATGAGCTTTGCCAAGCAGTGAGAAGGATATGTATATGGTATTCTGTAAGATCACTGACAGGTAGTAACATGATACCATCTACATGATATATGTAGCAAAAGGAATAGATATGTTACATAAATAAGTTTAAGAGCTATTTGTAATTAGTGTATAAATAATTTAACACAACTTTCACAGCAATCAATTCTTTCACCATTACAGAGCAGGGTGCCATTACACTGGGTGATGTTTTCCCATCAAGCTGAAGTATGGGGTTATACATATACCACTTAAAACGTGTTACATCAGAAGGCTGTTTGTTGAATACCCACCAGCCATGACACATTAACGATAGTCTAGTGACAAGATCTGGTGCTCTTTTACTTCTTGAGTGGAATACATATGGATGGATGTGGTTTGAACAACAGATAAGGTTGAAGTACAACAGTGCGACTGAGTTGAAACAGCATCATAAAATGGTGACAGACGTTTATACATTTGCTATACACATAGCCCCAGACTTCATCTTGCTTACATTTGCTATACACATAACCCCAGACTTCATCTTGCTTACATTTGCTATACACATAACCCCAGACTTCATCTTGCTTACATTTGCTATACACATAACCCCTGACTTCATCTTGCTTATGTTTGCTATACACAGACTTCATGTTGCTTTATATATAAAACTTATTTACCCATTACCTTGTACTGCTATAGATAGTTGGAAAGTCTTGCTAGTAATGAAAGCCCTGAAGTGAACTTCAATACAGAAATTGGCAGCTATGACAATCATGTTACTTACAGCATGTCGCCTGTCTTGTTCTTCTCGAGCCTTCTCAAAATCAGACTTCATGGCATCAAGTGCCATCGAGTGGCTATCCTCCAGCTGTCTCTGCAGTTTGTCCAGCTCAGTGCGTTGCCGGGCGGCCTGCTGGGACAGCCTTTCCTTCTCTTCCTGTACCTCAGCATGGAGACGTCGCCGCTGCTGCTGGTAGGACTCCTCCTCCTGTTGTAACTGCTTCTCATACCTACACAGAGATGCCTACACATTACACAGATGCCTACACATTACACACATGCCTACACATTACACTCAGATGCCTACTACACATTACACTGATGCCTGCACATTACACAAATGCCTACACATTACACAGTTGCCTACACATTACACAGATTCCTACACATTACACAGATGCCTACACACTACACAGATGCCTATACATTACACAGATGCCTACATATTACACAGATGCCTAGTCATAACATAGATGCCTATATATTACATAGATGTCTACACCTTAAATAGGTAACTCCACATTACAAAGATGCCTACGAATCACATCGGTACATTCACCCCTTTGTTGCCTACAGATGACTTAGATGCTTACATCAGATAGATACTGGCACTTTACACAGATGCATACAGACAATGCCTACACTTCATATGCATGCACATTAAATACAAACTACACATCACATAGGTGCCTACACATTAAATAGATGCCTACATATCTCCAAGGTGCCAACACATTGCATCAATTCCTACAGATAACATTATCCCTCTTCACAGCAAGTTTCAAAGCAGAACATAGTCTGCATGAACCCATAAAGAGAATAAGTCAAGCTAAATAATAGAAGGACAAAATAGACTGAGTGTACCTCTCCTTGGCCATCTGTCTCTCCCTGTTGCAAGCTGCTTCCTTCTCCTGCTCCAGCTGTTCGCGCACTTCCTCAATCATCTTCACATAGCGATGCGAAGCCCGCTCGTCTGTCTCAAGTATGTCACTCTCCTGTAGTTGTTTTATCTTCTTTATTTCCGCTTTGTGTTTGGCGATGAGACGTTGGATCTCTGGCTCCAAGCCCTTAACTGTCATCTCCTAGAATACACATAAAATTCTGGTTAGTCACTCTCAACATATACTCACAGTGACCCATCACAGGTGTCTTCAACAAATTTCAAGTGTCCTATGTTATGATAATGCTGGAATATTGACAAAATCTCTCACTCACCCCACAACCCTTAACAGAGATGTAAATCTAGTTCTACCTTGATCTTCTTGGTCTTCTCCTCAATCCACTTTTGATCTTCTTGGTCTTCTCCTCAATCCACTTTTCTCTCCTCAGCTTCTCAGCTGCAGCATGGATGTCCTTCAGCTTCTGCAGCTCGTGGCCATGGCTGCACACACACAAACAGATTAGAATGACGTGTAACAGTTCATGGTCTTGGCTCTGTGCCCAAAATAGCACAACTTAAGGAAGCAATTATCTTCATGGATTCATATTTTTTTGCATTTAAAGCTATAAACAAGAGGTTGTTTTCCATAAGTTAACTCATGTTCACTAAATGAATTTGGTTCATTCTGTTATATACGGCATGGAGAGTGTCTAGTATTCCTGCATGATATGGTACTGGAAATTTACCTTGCAAAACAAACAACCAGCAGAGCATATCAGAAACAGACAATCAGAAACATGACACTTTGCAAGGACATTTTATGAATGTAGCAAATTTTGACATTCATCTATGCCACCACTAGTTTAAAAAAAAATACTCTTGGGGCACCCTGGATAAACATGCCCACCTGTCAACAATGGACTTGATCTTATCCTGGTATTTCTTGTCAATGACTTTCAGTTCTTTCACCACTTGTTCACATCTCTCACTGAGTGTCTTCTTGTCATCGATCAGCTGAAACAGAATGTGACACTGCCAAAACACATACAGACACAGAAACAGAAACACCTACATGAACCAACAACTGTGCCAGAACACATACATACAGACAACCTACATGTTCCAACAAAGCTGTCAGAACATCTATAGACACAAACACCATCAACATGTTCCACCAAAGGTGTCAGAACACCTACACACACAGACACCATCAACATGTTCCACTAAAGGTGTCAGAACACCTACACACACAGACACCATCAACATGTTCCAACAAAGGTGTCAGAACACCTATAGACACAGACACCATCAACATGTTCCAACAATGGTTTCAGAACACCCATATACACAAACACCATCAACATCAGAACACCCATACACACACAGACACCATCAACACACCATCCAATAATGGTGTCAGAACACCTATAGACACAGAACATCAACATATCCAAGAAGGTGTCAGAACACCTATAGACACAGACACCATCAACATGTTCCAACAAAGGTGTCACAACACCCATAGACACAGACACCATCAACATGTTCCAATAATGGTGTCAGAACACCTATAGACACAAACACCATCAACATGTTCCAACAAAGGTGTCACAACACCCATAGACACAGACACCATCAACATGTTCCAATAATGGTGTCAGAACACCTATAGACACAAACACCATCAATATGTTCTAACAAAGGTGTCAGAACACCTATACACAGAGACAACCTACATGTCCCTACAAAGGGTGTCAGAACACATATAGACATAGACACCATCAACAGGAATAAAATAAAATAACTAGGTCATAGCATTGCAACTGACTATAGACAGTGTGAAAACAAGGCAGGGTTTTGCTATGGTTCACCAAGAAACCAGGGTAATGGGGTAACCAACAAGAATAAGCGTAACATTTCTACAGAACACATACTGTTCAGAGGTAGTAAACCAGACACTAGGATACATAGAGCAACATGTCAATGGCAACAGTACCTGATCAATGAAGCCAAGGTGTCTCTTGACAGTTTCCTCATACTCTTCCTTCTGCAGGTCCAGCCTCTTCTTCATCTCCTTCTCAGTCTCCCTTGCATGCCGCACTGTCAGCTCCCTCTGCTGGTTCTGTGAACATCAGTCAGACCATGTTATTTAACACTGTTGTCAGCACCAGTCAGACAGTGTTATGCAACACTGCTGTCAACTGTCAGGCAGTGGTATCTAACAATGCTGTCAACACAGGTCAGTCAGTAGTATCTAATACTATTGTCAACACCAGTCAATCAGTAGTATCTAACACTGTTGTCAACACCAGTCTATCAGTAGTATCTAACACTGTTGTCAACACCTGTCAAACAGTAGTATCTAACACTGTTGTCAACACCAGTCAAACAGTAGTATCTAACACTGTTGTCAACACCAGTCAAACAGTAGTATCTAATACTATTGTCAACACCAGTCAATCAGTAGTATCTAACACTGTTGTCAACACCAGTCAATCAGTAGTATCTAACACTGTTGTCAACACCAGTCAATCAGTAGTATCTAACACTGTTGTCAACACCAGTCAATCAGTAGTATCTAATACTGTTGTCAACACCAGTCAAACAGTAGTATCTAACACTGTTGTCAACACCAGTCAAACAGTAGTATCTAACGCTGTTGTCAACACCAGTCTATCAGTAGTACCTAACACTATTGTCAACACCAGTCAAACAGTAGTATCTAACACTGTTGTCAACACAGGTCAGTCAGTAGTATCTAATACTATTGTCAACACCAGTCAATCAGTAGTATCTAACGCTGTTGTCAACACCTGTCAAACAGTAGTATCTAACACTATTGTCAACACCAGTCAAACAGTAGTATCTAACACTGTTGTCAACACCTGTCAAACAGTAGTATCTAACACTGTTGTCAACACCAGTCAAACAGTAGTATCTAATACTGTTGTCAACACCAGTCAAACAGTAGTATCTAACACTGTTGTCAACACCAGTCAACACCAGTCAATCAGTAGTATCTAACACTGTTGTCAACACCAGTCAATCAGTAGTATCTAACACTGTTGTCAACACCAGTCAATCAGTAGTATCTAACACTGTTGTCAACACCAGTCAAACAGTAGTATCTAACACTGTTGTCAACACCAGTCAAACAGTAGTATCTAACGCTGTTGTCAACACCAGTCTATCAGTAGTACCTAACACTATTGTCAACACCAGTCAAACAGTAGTATCTAACACTGTTGTCAACACCAGTCAATCAGTAGTATCTAATACTGTTGTCAACACCAGTCAAACAGTAGTATCTAACGCTGTTGTCAACACCTGTCAAACAGTAGTATCTAACACTATTGTCAACACCAGTCAAACAGTAGTATCTAACACTATTGTCAACACCAGTCAAACAGTAGTATCTAACACTGTTATCAACACCAGTCAATCAGTAGTATCTAACACTGTTGTCAACACCAGTCAAACAGTAGTATCTAACACTGTTGTCAACACCAGTCAATCAGTAGTATCTAACACTGTTGTCAACACCAGTCAATCAGTAGTATCTAATACTGTTGTCAACACCAGTCAAACAGTAGTATCTAACGCTGTTGTCAACACCTGTCAAACAGTAGTATCTAACACTATTGTCAACACCAGTCAAACAGTAGTATCTAACACTATTGTCAACACCAGTCAAACAGTAGTATCTAACACTGTTATCAACACCAGTCAATCAGTAGTATCTAACACTGTTGTCAACACCAGTCAAACAGTAGTAACTAACACTATTGTCAACACCAGTCAATCAGTAGTAACTAACACTATTGTCAACACCAGTCAATCAGTAGTATCTAACACTGTTGTCAACACCAGTCAAACAGTAGTATCTAACACTGTTGTCAACACCTGTCAAACAGTAGTATCTAACACTGTTGTCAACACCAGTCTATCAGTAGTAACTAACACTATTGTCAACACCAGTCAAACGGTGGTATCTCATACTGTTGTCAACACCAGTCAATCAGTAGTATCTAATACTGTTGTCAACACCAGTCAAACAGTAGTATCTAACACTGTTGTCAACACCAACAAATTTCAAATTCAAGGAACATATACATAATGAACATATGGATAAACTTGAATTACAATTGTAGCAAATCTAATGAAAAAAGAAAAACTGAAAGAAAAACTAGGTCTATAGATATGTGACATACCAAAGCTTTCTGCAGCATAGTAACAGTCCTTCGTTTCTCATCCAGCTCAAGGCGCTGTGACAGGACCGTGCTAGTCACCTCACTGGCCACAGCTTGTGCCTGTTCCAGCTGGGCCAGCTCTTCCCCTGACGGCACCAACAGTGCTGGTTTCTCCAGCTCCTCATTCATCTTGTTGATCTCCTGCCACACAGTATTGAACAGTACAGTACAGGCTATGTCTTTCTATCGTCACCCTTCTTAAAATCTGAGATTTCACATACTGTAAATTATAAAATAAAATAAATTTATCACCAAATTAATTCAAGTGCAGGTCCCTATCATGCAATAACTTCAAGTAGCCCTCCCTTTTAATTTTCACAAACATGTTGTCATTAACTTATACATTCTAACAGCAAGAAGGCCAACTAGAACCACCTGACATAGTAGGACTAAACAGTGTACTCTTCAAAAGGAAGTTAATTTCTTTTGAGATTAGTAGCAGGCAATGTCAAATGTCACATATTCAAGTGAGATGCATCTGGAAGACTTACTGTGTCAATCTCACTAAGACGATCACTGACTTGCACTTCATCCAAAAATGTCATAATGCTCTTCAGCTTTCCATCAGTAAGGAAGCCACTTTGTTTCAGGCCATCTTTTGAATTGAGTTTCTCCAGGTTCTCTGCAGTCAGATTAGATTCAATGCAGTCTTCCTTTTCTTTCCTCTTTTCCAATTCTGTCACTGTCCAAAAAGCAATGGTTAATGTGGTTATGATAAATGCTGGACATGTTCATAATCTTAAAACAATCCTTTCAGTGAGTCACTTTTTAACACAACTATTTCCAGCAAGAAAAATTATCTGTTTCAACCAATTAAACAACTGTCCACCAAGTTCTTCAAACATCCCAATACCAAACCAGTTTCTCAACACAGACAAATACATCTAAACAATGAAATGTGTATCCCAACAATGGCAATTATATGCAGACATTGACATATATATGTGAACACTGACATGTATATCTGAATACTGATTTTCTCCTTATCCACTTAACAGCAAACCATGATCAAGGTTCATCGCGTGAGACAAAAATAGCCTGACCTTGACATGTAAATCCTATTTAGCCTATGAATGTGTTGTTGTTCAAGTTTTGCAATCAATCAAACACATCTACTTACACCATGATGTCCTTTTCTCTGCTCTAGGTGTGACAAAGTTTTCCTCTTCCTCAAGTTTCTTAAGTGTGTCAAACAGATCATTCAGTGTGGACCTCGTTGCAGCCTGACTAGGGCTGGGCAGACGGGGAGAGGGGTCAGCACCTGCACCCTCTGCCTCCTGGCGATGGGATGACGGCATCTGAGGACATGTAGGTATGTATATTGACTAACAGATGCAGGTTGGATTAGGAGTTTCTTCAAGTTAATTTGAAAGCAGTTCCACTCCTCTCCCACAAATTCCCAAAGACATTAAATCCTTCATTTCAGAAAGTTACCTGTAAAGATCCAGGTTAGAATTGGTCTTCAGCAACCCATGCTTGTAGTAAGAGGTGACAAAAGGGACGGTGTGGTCAGGCCTGCTGACTTGGTTGACACACGTCATTGTATCCCAGTTGTGTACATCAATGCTCAAGATGTTGATCATGGGATTATCTATCGAGATTTGATTATTTACAGACCGCTGCCATATAGCTGGAATATTGCTGAGTGCAGTGTTAAACAACAAAGCGTATCCAAAAATACCTTGGCACATGAAATGAGGACTAGGGGCATCTTCAACTCCGAACAGTTTTACGGGGCCATGATTCATTGCCCATCCTTACCTGGAACATGTCAGCCACATTGCCAGGTGCCGCACTGCCATTTTGCTCCACATCTCTGGGTGTGGATTCAGCAGCAATTTCCTGATCCTCTCTTCGACTAGACCCCTTCTTGGACCCATTGCTAGAACCACCCTTTTTCTTGGCTAAAGATGACTTAGAGGGACTCTTTGTGATCTTGCCACTTGCCTGGAGGTAGGAAACCTCTTCCTCTGCCTTCTTCTTTACTTCCTCTCTCTTCTCAGATCTCTTCTTCTGTAACTCCTGTATGTCAGAAATAGAATGAGTGAAATGGCATGATCCTGCTTTCGACAGTATTGAAGTATGTAAGAATGATGTGGGAGTAAGGCGGAAAGGATGCAAGTCTAAAATTTACCACTTTGACGTAACTCACAGTCAGGGATATGGTGCTGACAAACCTGGAAGTATAATCAGGGCAGTCTGTGATGAAAACCCACAAGCAAAACACCTAATTGTATGGCGAATTGGAGCTCCTTAGATTATTTGGTAATCCATGCCACCAATGTGTAAATCAAGGTCATAAGAAATTGAAAAAGTAAGAAATGAATGTACAGTAAAATGCTAATTCAAGTAACACTTTGCAAGAATGAAGATTCATTCTTGAATTTCTCATGTCAGCTAAAAGAGGGAAAATTGCATGAAATTTTGGTGCCACATACACCCCCAAAAGAATTAGGACATGACTCCAGGATATAATTTTTACAAGATAATCATTATCATTGTTAACATAAAACCGTATGATTAGTTGATAGACAATTATTTTGTCAAAATTGATACTACAGCTTCATATTCTTCAAATGTGACCCCTTAAGGCTTACTGTGTTCATATCTGGTCATGAGTACCTGAATGGCCTGTTGCCTGGCTTGTCTGGCCTTTTCCTCACGCTGTCTCTTTCTCTCTTCAGCACGCTGCTCCTCCACTTCCCCCGTAGACAAAGCAAGCTCCTGCTGTCTCAGTTCAACATGTTCCTGGCGCTTCTGGTCAAACAATCGCCTCAGAGCAGCCTCACTCACCATCTTCCGTTTGTGATGGCGTCGAAACCATCGTTGTATCTTTAAAGCAGCAGTATTCAAGGTTTGAATATAATCTTCAGCTACATTCATCCCAACTTGATTAGATGCAGATTTACGAACTTGATTCACAGGAGCCTTCGGTTTTATATTCTGATAAGAATTTTCCATTGAAGACAAAGAGGGTCTTGTTTTTGTAGAATGCCCTTGTGCAGTCATATTATTTACAATACTGTTCATATTTTTCCTCGAGGTGGACCTATTGGAGCGATGACTGTTAAGGACTTCTGGGTCATCTGTAGAGGAAGAATTGTTCTTGTTTGCTTCGGACAACTGGTTTTGAAGACTCTGCAGCCTATTGAGGGAGCGTGAGAGGGTGTCCTCTATTTGATCCAAGTCATCAGAACTGTTGTCAGCAGTGTCAGGCTGGAATATATTGTGTGGCTCAGTTCTGTCTGTGTCTGCTGCTTCCGACCGGGCAGAGGCTGTGCGGCCACTTTGGACAGTTGGCTTACTGGGCTGGAAAGATTATCACTTTGAGAAGGAGATGCAGTGTGGACATGATATTACATGACATACATTATAACCTTGAATCAAGATGCAATAATGGTTACTTCTGACTTAGAAATTACCCAAACCCCTAGGGGTTTACAATTCATTGATGATAGTCTTCTTTGGGTTTTAATACAAGTTTTCGTACAATACTCGTTTTTTATCTGTTATACAGTCCCCACCACCAAGAGATACCTTCCCTACTGAGAATGTGCAGATAGTCAGGAGTACCCCTGCTTCAACTCAGCATGCCTTCTGTTGACGATCAACATCAGAGACCAGAATAACAAAGAGGTGGAAGAAAGACTCTCTTCAAAGAATTGGAAACCGCAACGGATTTAGTTAATTATTTTTTCAGTGGTCTACCTTGGTGTACATATATGCATTAACACAGACTCCCAGGTTGTACTCTAGGACACAGCTACATTAAAATAAGGGTTTATGTACTGTCATACAGGTGTGACAATAAGTAGCTGACCAGTGATGCTGAACATAGGCTTGGTAACACAGGAATCTGATACGTAAGTATATAGTCCAGCCACTGATTTCATGACAGCCCAATATCCTCACCTTCTGCTCCCATGCTGACTTGACAGAGCTGACTCCCGGCTTCTTGGCCTTGGATGGTGTGCTGCTGGGCCTCTTGATCTTTGGCTGATGGGAGGACTCGAACAGTGCAAGAAAGTCATCCTTCCTAAAAAGGAAATTTACATAAATTTGACATAGAAATTTTAAAAAGAATTATGCTATATTTACCTGATAGACCAAGATCAACCATTTTGTATTAAACCTTCAAGAGACTCTTGTACATGACAAATGTGCACATTTTAGTTGATATATCAGATGAAGAGTGTTTTCTCTGTTCTGCTGATGCAGTGTAAGTGTGAGAAGGTTCTACAGAGCTTGTAGCACAATCAGAGCCAAGCATCACAAATGTAACTGTAAGACTGGTATAACACACTGGGCTCCTTCTTGAAACAAGCCCTATCAGGTTTCCTGTGTCTTGAAGCACTACAATACCCAAGTCCTACTCAACCTCCCTTGAAGAAGTGAAAGATTATAGACTCACACGTTGGGTTCATTAGCAGCCATATCTTTCTTGCGTCCAGAGATCCTGCTTGAGGCTGCTCCACTGACATCACTGCCCCGCCCACTGACAGGTGCTTGTGGTCCTACAAGTACATAACATACACAATGACAGCTACTCAAGTCAGCCATATGACAAACAACCATATGGGGTATTACTAAAAACTTGTACAAACCTGTGGAGGCTACTGATTCTTTGAAGAAAGTCCTCCGTGGGGTACATATAGGCATCCTACTACAGTTGTACCACCCCTACAGGGCCCTCGCACCTAACTTTTCATGCTGAACGTAATCAGACAGAATGTGGGGAAGCAGGTGGCTGTACCCCAAGGAGGACCTTCTTCAAAGAATCAGTAACCTCTACTGGTTTGTATGATTCTTTTTCAGAAGAAGTCCTCCTTGGGGTGCATATAAGACAAACTCCCATAGATAGTGAGTCGGGAGCGGCATTCCCTCTGACAAACTAAACTAATTCTCAAGCTGAATCTAAAACCGAGTGGAAATAGAAAAACACACTTGCCAAGTCACCTGACCGCCGATGTCAATGGCTTAGGCAGGGAGTAGAAATACCAAGCTTATATGCTGATTGGCTTAGAAGCGTGTCAATCAACCCCACCCTCAAGCAATAATTTGGAAGAATACAGTATGGTGGAATCGTCAAAATATTCCCAGTAATATACACCCAGCCAGCAAAGAATGGTGAGATGGAAACAACTAGGAGAGCGCCGTACACGCCATAAAAGCTAATAGTACACCATCAGCAGGTATGTGAAAGGCAAAAAGCCGTGGAATAGCCTCTGATAGTAAAAGAGGTGAGACCGGCTTCTAATCTAGATTGCAAAAAATCCATAACTGTAACTTGATCTGTAGAAAAGGGATCAAGAATCCCTCTGCGACACACCAGCATGCATAACAGGCCCATCTATCCTCATATTGAACGTTTGTCGAATCCCTCCGCAGAAGCCAGAATTGTGTCTGCAACTGATGCAGGAATTCCGCTGGAGGCGATTCCAGATAGTGGCCAAGTCACCCACTGAATCCTTGGATTCGGATGGGATGCTCCGTTCTGGGATAGTAGGTCCAGTTGAAAGGGTAATAGTACAGGAGACTGAGCCAGAAACCTGATGATTACCGGAAACCAGCTTTGTGCCGACCAAAGAGGTGCAAGGAGCACAAGTAGTTGAGCTGGTATGGTGGCAAGCTGCAAGAGGACCCTGGGAATCAGGGGTATCGGTGGAGCATCCACTCGTTAGGGGCTAGCATACGCCAAGAGAGTGCGTCTGCACGAACATTGTCTACCCCTGAGAGATTAACAGGCATCACCCGTATGTCGAACTGGTCGCACCACAGCAGAAACTTACATGGCTCCTGCAGGAACAACAGGACACTGTACTGATCTGCTTGAGGATATAGGTCATCGCCGTTTGACTGTCCATCTCTAGACGAATCAAACGGCTTCGAACCTGATCCACAAAGCGTTCGAATACCAGCCGGACTGCTCTCAATTCTAGCACATTGATGTGCAGGCACGCCTCGTTCTCTGACCAAAGGCCCGATACTGTGAGGCCGCCCAGAACCCTGCCCCAGCCTGTGAGGGAGGCATCCGGTTGAATCCAGAGCGATGGCATTGGGATTTCCATGGGGAGCCCCCGGGATAGATTCCTGACATCTGTCCGCAACCGCACATGAGGAATCAACCACTCTGGAGTCTAGAAAACATTTTTGTAAATCTCTGAGTGAGACCACAGCTGCGCTAAGGCCATCTCTATAGGTCGCATCCTCAGACGCACATGCCACTATGTCCACCGTCGCCACATTGTTGCCAAGCAACTGGGGCTATGTACATGCTGAGGCCCTGGGGGACTTGAGAAATTCAAAGCAACCCTCTGAACCTTGGTAAAGCGGTTGCAAAGTAACCCTCAAGAAAACCAGATATTGTAGTACAAGTTCGATTTCATGAAATTGATAATCCAACCCAACTTGGTGAGAATACTCATCGGAAAGTGTCATCTCGAAAGTGTGACAAAGCTTTGATCTCGACTCAGTCGTCTTGGACGAGTGACAAAGCCCTGTGTCCTGGAGTGGAATCCAGTTGTCTGGCACCATGGAGATGTCGAAGGGGAGCACGCGAAACTGATAACACCTCCCCGTCAAAACAAAACCTGAGGTATTTCCTGAACTCAGGGTGCATCAGGAAAGGAAGGTATGCGTCTTTGAGGTCGACTGACTGAAGCCAATCCCCTGCCTCTACAGATTAGATCACTGATCGCAGTGTCTCCATCTTGAAAGACGGAACCTCCATCATGTCGTTCAGGCCTTTGAGATCTAGTATAGGTCTGAAGAGGGCTGGATATTGCCCTGATCCTCATATTGCGATATATTGCAATAATTTAAGAGATACTGCAATACATATTGTCATTTGTGATATATTGAATGCAAGGTTTCTGTCCAAGTGTGACATCATCTTCTTATATGCTGTTACTGTTACACCATACTTTCAGGCTCCCCGGCCCCATTGTGTATGGCTGTATACAAATGGTGTACAGATAAATAAAATGATACAGAGCTTTACTGTAGAATGATTCAAGTACCGTATTGTAACAAAGCTTTGCAAACATAATGATAAAGGTAATAGTATAACATGATCAGTGTTGTTTGCTTCAACAGAATGCACTTCAATGCAGTATATAACAAGAAGACAAAGTCATCAATATCCCCCGCAATGGCAAAATACTCTTCATGATTATGTCTACGAGTTATGATTATGTCAAATATTTAGGTGTGTATATAGAAAAGTGGAAGAAGAACATTGAAAGATTTTTAAAGTTCTGCTCTAGAAAGGAGCACTATCAAACTTGTTGCCATGGAAACGCCAAAAATATTTTATTCAGAATTCCAAAACTACCAAAAGGCACCAGTACACCACCAGACCAATCTATGTGCCAAGTTTGGTGAAGAAATAGTGAACGGTTTTAGAGTTCTGCTCCGGAAAAGACAAATGTGCATGGACGGACGGACAGACGGATGGAGTCCATTTTAATACCCCCCGCAAAACGCGTTACGGGGGATAATTATTGTTACTGTATGTCAGTGATTCATTCAGATTCAACTCCAATATAAACATGTGTTAACATGAACTAATGAAAAATGAAACAAAAACATGATTTAGGTGAACTACTTGAGCTTAAAATCCTGTGACCTCCAATAACTAAGATCCTTGTCTAGAATGTCATTATACAGTTCTACAAAATTTATAAGACTTTGGCCTTTGAGTAAATTGATAACATATGTCCCATTATGAAACAAACAAAAATTACAAAATAATGTGAATTGTGAAATGGTCACTCAGAAACAGAGGCTCTCTTAATAAGTCCAAATAAAAGATTGTTCAAATCTTTGAAGGGCATTTAGAAGTTGAATGCATAAGAAAAGCAAGATTTATGGATGTAACATATGTTATTTTTGCGATTACACTTTCTTAGTAAAGAAAAGATTATAGTATTTTGGGGGGTTGAGTCCCATTCGGGATTCGAACTCGCACCTTCAGAGTCAGGCACCTTACTGCCAGCACACAAAGTCAGCCACCTAACCCGCTCAGCCACTGTGGCTTCCACAAAAACAGGAAGTCGGATAACTGGTAGTCTACACTGGCAGATAACTTTGCTAACTGTACCCAATATAATCTGAACCCTCTTGTAAAAATGTTACATGAAACCAACAGAAATAATTTGGCACTTTTAGAGCACATGTTTGTTACTATGGAAATCAAGGGCAGATAATCCTCAAGTTCTGTTGCAAGGTCAAGGACTTTATCTGCGGAAGGGAGCTAATCTCTCTGGATGACCAAGGCAGTAAATATATTGCAGAATCTGAACTGTATGAGGGTTCCCTGTAGCCCACACCAGTTAAGTTGCCCTGAACAATCACCAAAGGAGTTCTTTCGCGAGGTCTGAACCCTCCGTCTTCTTGGTGACCAGGAAATAGGTGGAGTCATCTGTAAAAACAAAACCCCACATTTTCCTGCCCCAAAGGAACCACCTTGATGGCTGCCTTGTCCAGTAATGACTGGACCTTGGCACGGAGGCTCTCCTGCTTGGGAAAACAGAAGAATGAGCCTTCCCTGTTTAGCTGCCAGTGCCGCTAAAGAGGAGGCTGAGCCTCCCCCCAGGGTGATCGTTGTGAGCAATGACTCATTCAGCACTTGAAACAGTGAGTCATCCCCAAGATGGTATCGCTTAACAAGCTCAGGAAGTGTATCCAGCTGCCTGAAAGCAAGGGGTCGACAACGTCTCAGACCAGCGATGGTAGAACACGTAGCTGAGTCTGGGTCGGCTGCCTAGGGGCAAAAGCCTCCCCAGGAAGGCGGAACTGTCAATCCTTTCTCTTCAGCGGTACCGTAGCGTGAGGTAATATGACACACCTCCCTCAAGCAATACACCGACGCACCTCCACCGATCACGAAAAACAGGACCCATGTGTTGAGCCAAACAGCGACCAAGGGTACCAAATTATATAAAGAACAATGACACAATGTTAACTGAGAGTGGACATTGAGTCAAGTGTTTTCTCACCTCTTGGTGACTTCCTCTTGTCTTTATCAGTGGGGAACACATCATTAGTGCTGGAGGTCTGTAACAGAGAAAACAAACATGCAGCAACAATTTACGTTAACACTGGTACATTATACTACCTTGTATCACACTATGAGTATGTATTGTTTACTGCTGGAATGTATCCATACTAAATGACACCAGTATATATGTGAAGCATATATCGGTGTGACACTGAACAACAAAAATACTATTTTCAATAGAACAAAACGACTCTCGCCATTGATAGTTTACTTTTCTAAATCTTTTGATAGCTCTGACATCTTCGTTAGGTGACTGAGGACAAAGATGTTATCATATTATGTTGGTGATTTTTATGACAAGTTACATAAGTATCAACAAGCCGTGCCAGAAGTGACACAGTGCCAGGGTACAATTTCATATTTTGTTCATCAGCCAAGTGAGTTAATCTGGCTGCACCATCTAAATATTGGCTGCACCATGTTATCAACAAAGCTATTGCACTCACTGACAACAGGCGATTTTTTATCAGCAAAGTTAGAAGGATATTTGTGGTCCATTTCACTATCTCTGAAAAAGTTCACTTTGTAAAATGTCTGAGTGAGTTAACATTTAACGTCACCTCGGCAATATTGCAGCCATATAGTGACAAGTAAAATGTCTGAAAGAATATTTTCATAGATGAATGCTTTGTAATGACCACTTTCATTCATAAATATAATTTCTTGTCCACTTTGCAAAATCAGCTTGTTCACCATTTCAAGTGACGTATAACACTGTGACCTTTGACCTTCCATGTTATATCACAAGACTATGTACACATACCGGTATTATGGTCATGGTAACTGATTTATGAGCATGAAAACAGACTTGTTTAATTTTTTGTTTCAGGTAATTGATTTTGTCGATACACACGATAGGAGAAGACTAATTTTAAATTAAAATGTTACCTGCACTGGCTGCAACCTGACAATAGAAATGACCTGCACTAGCAATATCTGACCTGCACCAGTGCAGTCTGAATACAGCAAAATCAATCACTGAGTGGCCAATAAGAAACACTTAACTCTAGCAATATATAAATAAGTTACAACGTGAGTGAGTATGGTTTTACAACCCTGGTATTAATAGTCCAGCAATTTAGCGACAAGGGACACCAGAAATTGGTTTCAGACTTTGAACCCATGCCTGGCTTGATGAGCGAACATTTCAACCACTCAGCTACCTAAGCTACCTTCAAATGGTGTGACATGGATGACTATGGCATAAAACAACTCAGCCATTTTCTTTCACATATGTTGTACATACCTTAGCAGTCCTGATATCCACCAAGGAATTGGGTCTCTTCAACTGTCTCCCAGATCCAGGTCTTCGCCCAGAACTTGATATCTGAGACCCTGTCAGACTAAGGTCAAGGTCATCCCCGTTAACACTTCTTCTGGACATTGCACTTCATCTGGAGAAATTACATGAACACAATCACCAAGCTTTTAGATATAAAAGTGGTTTGTAAGTATTCACTAAAACAGACGTCACAACCAAACATTTTCTTAATCTGATCTAATATGGGCCCTTTTATGATGTTAACTAGGGGTGTCACGATACACCAATCTCTCGATACGATACGTATCACGATTTTAAGGTCACGATACGATACGTATCGCGATACATAATTTTCGCGCCTTTTCATAGCATTACCTTACCGGCAACGTACGCGTGCGCTGATTGGTCCATCAAAATAGTCTAGCCAATCACGTAAGCTGTTAGTTTCCAACCTATTTTTTTAAGTAAAGCTAGCTACATCTATTTATCGAAGCGGTCTCGTATAATTTTACCATCAAGACTTTGAAGGAGATGGATATAGCATAAAAATTTGAATCGATAAAGTTTTAAAATAGGAATCGATACACGCAAGCATGTATCCCGTATCGTATCGTCAGTAAAAATGTATCGATGCATCGATACATTCGCGTATTGCGACACCCCTAATGTTAACAGACCTCATATTGATCCTTTGCTCATCCAAGGTTGTGAGCTATATGACGTAGTTTGGAAACTGAGAAAAGAAGGGATTTTTGGGCATCAAAATGAACAGTTAGTAGAACTCTACACAGTCTTAATTACTGGACATCAGTTCCTATGAAAATCACTCTCCCCTCTGACATACACCAGCAAAACAAAGTGTAAATTCATCTCATTTGTGGTCATCTATCACCTCTCATTGGATAAGACCAAAGATGTGAAGTGTTCTCAATATCATTTATATTAAAATACAGATTGCAACAGTGCATTTCACAGCAAACACAAGTTTATGAAAGAATCCATCAACAGTTTGGGTGACTATAACATATATTTTATTATACAGTAGAACATGGTTATAGCGAACACGGATATAGCGTACAAACGGATATAGCGAACAAATTTAAAAGTCCCGTCAACAGTCCTTTATAATATCATTGAAATTATACGTGAATAACGAACTCGTGAGTAGCGAATTAACGGCTATAGCGAACTGATTTACTACCCCCAAGACCCAATTAACGACGTGATTAGCGAACTCACTCAGTGTCAGCTCAGCCACTTAGCGGTACAGTATACATCAATCTTGTTGGCGGTGAATCAACATTGTTTGATGGTCATTAATTAATTAACAAAACAAACATATCGTGTTAAACGAAAGTTTTCGTTGACGAGGGCGGTATCCATTGCCGTAGTATGATTGGCTGCCTTAGGTCACGTGTCTGATTTTGACCAATCACGATCCTTATAGCAGACTGTGGCGAAAAAGCGTCATTAGAAACCAATCTTTATCCAATAAAATCGCTTTTTACAACTGTGAAAATACTCTCGGCAAGGGTACAGTGATATTGTTGATGTTACAGAGCTGTCGAACGATACCAGACACCACACGATTCGCCTCGCATGTTATTCATACGAAGCTTCGAAAACGGAGGTATTTCCCGTTGTTGTGTCATGTTAACGAACGGAAAGCCTGATTACATAAAAATGAAAATATAAAAGAAAAAGGTACGGGCATGTTATGACATGTCACAAATGGAAAAAAAATCGCTACAGTTTTAGCTTCTTTCGTGGTTTATCTGGACATTATAAATGTAAGCTTGCATTTTCATTAAAAAATAAATGTATTTAAGTTGTAGATGTATTATTTCAATTTTATTATAAAAATAAACTTCATATTTATCAACATGATATAGGTAATGTCTGAGAATGTCTACATCTCTACAATCAAAGAGGGCGGTCAAATGTGAATAACGAACAACGGATATAGCGAACTAAATTTCTTGGTCCCTTGGAGTTCGTTATATCCGTGTTCTACTGTATATACAATGAACATATATATTGCATGTTGTATGTATTCACAGCTCAATCCATATTGAAACCATTAGGTTTTGTCACATCAACCTCCACACATGTACCAATTCACACAAGTAGAGAAGCCTAAACAAACATATGTCAGAGAGATACACAGATCTTGTTGATGGTGTTGTGAAGTGATAAATGACTACTAAACAGTTATTCCCTCTGAACTAAACAGGCTAAGTAAACTCAACTGGCCATGTCGACATAGTTATTTTAGTACTAAGCTACTAATTTTTTGGAAGTTGGCCGATGTAACTAGAACTTTTCACAATATTGGACTACTCATGACTTGCTATGAAAAACAAACCAAATATAATCTTAGCTGGAAACATGTTTAATGTGCTTTCTCAGTACATTGCAGAAGAGCAGATGCTTTTAAAAGCTACCAGAACTACAAGCTTGGAAATTTTAACTATAAATTGTATATTTACATACATATCCTATCTCACGGTATGCACTTCTCTCTCTTCTTCTACCAAGTCGTGAAAACATGCTGAAGGCTAAGTTGAATCAAATCTTCCGGGCTTCTCTCCCATCCAACCTCTATGGGTTTGATTCAACCAACAAATACTAAAATGGTGAACTATTGCATGGCTGGAAACTGTCGTTCCTTCAAGTACAAGGCAGGACTTGAAACTGACAATCTGAGTTTACACCGGTTTCCGTTTGATCCAGTCATCCGAGAAAAATGGACGCTGTTTGTTTGCAACCCACAGACATAATAACATGTCATGTGTACAAGTATCACACCTGCCTGTCTGTGAAATTACATAATGTGACAGAGACAGAACTCAGGTGAATGAGCCATAACTCAATGTATTGTGTTTATGGTGTATAGCCTGATACGTTTCAAGTTCAAATTGCATGTGGTCAATGATCAAAGTTGTGTATTGCATATTGTCATTAGCAGACAGGCAGGCAGACACATAGGTGTCAATAAAACAGACATTGAGTTTTGTCTGTGACAGAGACTGCTTATCACAATCAACATATTTTTCTATGTTTCCACAGACATGTATTAAAACATTTCAGTTTTCAAGCTGAGCAAAGAAATTAGTATTTCTAATGCTACACTTTCTTGAAAACTTGGTTTGCAAATCTGCCAACCCCCAAAAAGCAAGATGTGAAAACATATAAGAAAAAGTATGGGGCCAGTGTATTTTTATTACTGCAGACCAAAGATGCTTGTAATCACAAGAAACATCTTTTGTTCTCCAACTTCGAACACAGCAATAATCGTTGCACACATCACTAGCTGGGTTTTACGGAGTCGCCTTCCTGGTTCAAGCAGCGTGAACCTAATCACTGCACATGCGCTATGGGCGCAGCGCAGCACAGCTGTTGAAACCATTTTTCACCCCAGCGCTGGGGTGAAATTAGTGAATCCCTTGAACTCCGATTTTGTGTGTGTGTGTGTGTGCGTGTGTATGTGTGTGTGTGTGTGTGTGTGTTTCATCGCGCTATTTTTCAACTTTATAAGTTGAATTTGCATTTTTGATAATATGTTACTGTAAGTCCATGCCGAAAGGTATCAGAATATGCAAAGTTGTGTTTTGCGTTGCATGTGACTTTAAGCCCAAGAGAAAATGACTATCAAGAAAAAGATCGATATCGATATTAAGATATTAAGATAAGATAAGATACAGAATGCAAGACCGACGCGAAGCAGGAACTGCATCTTATCTGCGTTTGCGAGCCGAGGACAACTGCTGTGCCAGAACCAATGGACCCAGTTGGTGAAGACCTTCCACGTCAGTGACAGACAGATCCCAGAGACAGGGTGAGGCGAAGACTGTGTCTGACGTCCAAAACCAATCCTCCATGATGGTGTGAAGGGAACAATTGCTGTGAAGTGCCACTGTAGAAGCCAAGGTTCTCGTCTCATGAGGGTTGGCCATAGTAGGTGGAAGGTCAGCGTAGGCGTAGGCACAAAGGATGGCAGACCTCATCCAGAATGCCAAGGTGGTACAAGAGACCTCTGCAGATGAGGCGGTAGACAGAGGAATAAATAGTCTCTTACGTAACCTACGACGGTCCTTGGAGCAGCTAGATTGACCCGTATAGTCCGGACAGGACATAGGGAGAAATCCTCAGTGTCGTCAGGGCCAAAAATTGTAGACAGTGGTGGATTGATGAACAGTCACTCCGGCTGTCCTGGCAACTGGTTTTGGGCGATGAAGTCCCACCTCAAACCTACGAAAACCTTGGCATATCGTGTAATCTCAAACCGCATCTGGCTGACATCCAGTGCATGAAGCTCAGAGATGCAAGCAGCAGTCGCAAAAGCCATGAGGAAGAACCAGAGGCTCATGTTCCTCTGACGTGAGTACCATGGAAAGATCCCAAGCTGGTGGCCAGAACTTTCGAGATCGATCAACAACCTTATACGATTGCAGGAGAGACTACAGTTCAGGGACAGTCGATACCTTGACACCCGTAGCCGTGGCAATTACCGTGTTAAGCGCAGCTAGATATGTGGCCAAAGTTGAACCCATCAACTTCTTGGAAGCACGTAGATGCTGGAGACATTCAGCTACCATCTGTGGTGACGCTGTAGTAGGGGAGATAATGCCCTTCACCTCGCAACATACTTAAAAAATCTTCCATATATCATCGTAGAGTGAATGGGTGGAAGGCCGATGAACTGTGGTAATTGGCGTAGCGACACACTGGGAATAACCCTGCGCAATCAGCTATTCATGCAAATGTGCCAAGCGTGTAGATAGAGCGTTAGCAGTGACCAGGGAAGCTGATCCGAGGGAGGGTAGATCAGAAGGTTGTTCGGGAAGTGGTACTGGGTGTGGACTGGCTGTGTTTTGCATGTCTACGAACCAACTTCTGGACGACCAAAAAGGGACGACCCAAGCAGTGTCATCCGCTGCGTTGTTCCTAACCTGAGAAGTATTCGTGGAAGTAGCGCCACTGGTGGAAACGCATATGCGTTGAGGTCTTCCCAGGGGATTGCTAGTGCATCATGTTCCCATTCCAGAGGATCCAGAATCGGTTATAAAAACTTCGCAATCTTGTTCGCAAACAAGATGGTCGAGCTGAGTATGACAGTGAATCGGCACTGAC